TGATACGAAGATTCTGAAAGGTCATAATAAAGTCTCAAATTGCAAATAATTATACTCTGATAAAAAAAATCTCATAGTAAATTCACGGCAGATATACATTAATTTTCACACAAATCACACAGAAATCGCCCTCCCTCACAAGAAGTTTATTTTTCACACCACCGCTCAGTGTCGTAATTTAAACATAGGAGCCCCTTGGATCGACATAATACGGGACCCCTATTTAAAGATAAGTCATTAATGTAATTTTGTGAACTGCATTTTAGGACTGGAAATGTTTAGTTAAATAAATTATCAAAGAAAATAAATTATCACTTTTGATTTCATGATATAAGTTAAAATTTAAATGTTGTTCTTTTCTTCGCATTTACAAATGTATCAATAAAAGTAAAAATATTATTTTTCAACTAGATTTTTTTCGTGCTCAATTGATAAAATACTGAAATTATTCAGACAGTCTTGTGCCATTGTACTAGATAAATTATTTTTAAATGTCACCTATATTATTGCAGTAGTTTACATACCTTTGCGCCTATCAAACACAACCAATCTTGATAAATGATGTCCCTAAAGAAAGTGAATTATACGGAGACTTGACGAATTGCACTTTGCCTATAAAAATATGAAGGATTTGTTTTTAAAAAATGCATCGAAATATACAATTGATGAAATACATGCCAAATGCAACCCCCAGCACTTAATTAGTTATATATTTAAATAACTACTAAACGAAGTATTATAGGACCTTTAAACCAAAATTTTAAGCCAAAGGCCTCAAAGAAACGTCCATCACACAGTAACCTACAGGATGGGATATTCTTGGATTATTTGTTAAATTTTTGCTGATGCGAAACTTAACGATACCACCAATGCCACCTATATTTTAACCCTTGGTGATGGTGGTCATCTCTGTGACGTCACGCTTAGAAGGCTTAAATTTCTCCATCTGATACTATTTACGGTTTTTGTGTACATGGTTTACGGAGACTGACGAGTTCCATTTCCATAATTATTAATTCAAGATTCGCACTCGCAACAACTAGTAGTTCTATTAATAGTACCTTGATGCCAATGAAGATTGTTTCTTACGCGTGTATTGAAAACATTCATTTAACGTTTGGCCGAGGCATGCAAGTGCTGTGTATCTAATTGTGGAGGGATGTGGGTGTACAGTGAAGAGTGAAGACGTTTCTTGTTGGATTTGGTTTACACGCACTACTGCCTTGACACGTTTCACACAAACAAAACTACTTTATATCGAAAATTTCACAACCCTGGTATATTTTGTAACACAGATCCTTTCACACACACGCTTGTATTCTCACCAGCACTCTCCGTCTGTAACTGCAGGCTGTTCCACTGAGAAATATGCATTCTTCGTTGTAGACAGAAAGAGACGAGATTCCAGAACGACCAACTTTACATATAGAAGTCAAGTGTATATTTTGAATCAGTATTTTAATAACAAATGAAAACAAATTCTCTAAACATCATAAATAATACATTAAATGCCGTCAATAATTGATTGAACTTCTGTACTTTCAATAACAAGCGAAATTCATAAAATCACGTTGCAGCAAGTCAAACGAGGACAGAATATTATTCTCCTGAGACTCCTTCAGACGCCGCGCAGCACTAGACAGCGCCACCAGAGTGGTGGAATCACCAAAACGTCCTATGTTGCCCATGTTAAATCGAAGGGCCACAGAGTAATGCAGTAAACCCGGTAATACAGGGAAGAACCAAAAGCGTGGTGCAATACTCGTCAAGGCATCAGAGACCGAAGAGAGCGCCGGTTGGGCGCTCTTTGGTTCCAAAATGATTTCATGTATCTCGATATTGCTGGAATATCTTGAATACTGGATGCCATAAAAAGGAAAATGTATATTCCTAGGATAATATGAGATATTTCTTCGATGATCTGGGGGTTGTGCAACCTACGAACCACCACTGACTGGTGTACTTCAAGATCTTCTCCATTTAATGCCAACCAATTTGTCAATGTAGCACACGCAATTTGCCTCTAGCTCTGTGACTTGTGAAGGGACGTCTACCTCCCAAAATTTGAATTTGTCAATGGATGCAATAGCACAGACCTCAAAAGCTTTCACTGCCGTGTCGAACAATTCATGTACGATTTACCAGTTCCGCTACCTGTGATTGGGTGATGACCCTTCCTGGATAAATTTCATCTTGCGGTATAGTTCCGTACAAGTTCGGTAGATGTCCGCATCAGGTCTCTTATCCCGACATGAATACAGACCGTTGCCCCAACTGTCAAAATATATTTTAATTTGTGCTGCCTTCTGTCGAGCATCTACGAAAGTAGGTATTATATCCGCATGTTTTCTTGAGCCCCAGAATACCTACCCACACTCCTTTACTAATTCTCTATAGGTTGAATTCAGAATAAATGAAAGAAACGCGCTTCGGGGACACAAATATGGAGTCAGATATATTCGCTCCCATGTAATAAAACTATTTCCCATAAAAAAAACAGCTACGGATTTGATATAGTTTTGTCGTCAAATTAATCAAACCTCCCACTCTTCTCGCCTCTAGCGAATCGAAGGCTCAAGAAAACGTGCGCTGCAGCGCGCTGGTAATATTTCTAGTGCGTAGTGTAGGTCACATTTCACACACCCATTCTCTTAATTGTAGATTTTAATTACTGTGCTATTAAAACGTAAAAATATTTCCAATATCTTACAAAATTACATTAAATAATTTCAAATTATAGCTCACCTCATTGTTGCAGCAATACTTAAACTCCTCACAGAACATCAGCCATGACACCTCCCAATTTATATTGTACGAAGGTTGCTTTTTATATTTCAGGATTAGAGAACAAAAACAAATATTAATCATCGAAAATCACTTTATTGTTTTTCAAAATATACCCCATGAAGATCTATTCACTTTTGCATACATTTGAACCAATTGTCGAAGCACTTTTGGCACTCTGATTGAAGTATCTCCAAAATATGCATTCTGAATGCAGCAACCGCTTCTTCAGGTGTCGAAAAAGGTTGACCTCTCGGTTTGTTTTTTACGTACGGGAATAAAAAGAAGTCATTCGGTGCCAAGTCAGGACTATACGGCGGATGACTAATAAAATCGATGTTTTGGGTGCTCAAAAATGCAGTTGTTTGAGCCGATGTGTGAGAGAGGTGAAGAGTGAGATCCGTCTTCGGCGGTTGGTTTTCCTGATTTCTTGGAAGACAGCTGGCAAACAAATCGTTGTGTACCACTCAGAATTGACCTGCGTTGTTCTAGTGGTACGGTTGCGACTTCAGTTTTTTCGAAAAAAGGGGTGACCATCTGTTTTGAAGTGCTTCGTGCGCGAACAACTTTTGTTGGATTTTGCTCATCTTGAAACACCCATACAGTCGAGTGTTTATTTTCGGGCTCATACGCGTAAATCCACGATTCATCACATGTTACGATGTCATAGACGTGTTTCGAAGCACCGCGATCGTATTTTTTGAGCATTTCTTTCGACCAATCGACACGAGCATTTTTTTGAGCGATTGACAAATTGTGTGGAATCCAACGCGAACAATTTTTTTGACAGTCAAATGTCCATGCAATATTGAATGTATTTTGGTCGCACTAATACCTAAGGTTGTCTCAATCTCACGATAGGTCACATGACGATATTGCTATATCAGTTCACGCACAGCATCAATGGTTTTCGGAACAACTTATTTTGGACAACCTTCGCGAAATTCGTCGTGGAGTGAACTACGACCTCGATTGAATTCACCGTACCATCGATAAACACTGGTCCTTAATGGAGCTTCATCGCCAAAAAATGAATTAAGTTCATCCATGCACTGTTGCTGAGTTAATCCACGTCGAAAGTTGTAAGAAATAATCGCACGAAAATGTTCACGATTTAATTCCATTTCTGTACCCAGATGAATCTTTTAAGTTTCTGTAAACAACACAAATAGTGCTCGTATGTCAAAACGTTCTGAGTACGCATAACCTCGAAACATTCAACTTTACGATAGAGCTGTCAGTTGCCAGATTGCAACATCAGGGTTTGCAATTCCGAAACATAAAAGGCAACCCTCGTATTTCAGAGCCATTTTCACTACTCGAAAACAGTAAGTACGCAAATCGGACTCTCACCTCGTGCGGACTTTTGCCTCCTGCTACTCTATACCAGCAGTGGCCAGGAAGCAACTGTCAAAGCGGTTTCTTCTTATTGTAATATCTCTTATCAGTGACGTATTCTTACGACCTCGCATCCACCGCGAATTTGCCGGGACTTAAAGAGAATCTCTAATACACGGCATTGCATCAAGCGAGTCGCGACGAGAAAGCGAATAAAAATTATTGGCAATATGTTAGTTGATGTGCTAATTAACGAGGTCACGCGGACTTTCGCTTCGACACCCGGCGAGTGCGAATCTCAGTTCTGCACGAGGATACGAAACTCTATCACTTGAAGAGCTGTACGCATTCTACATCCAATCACAGAAAAGGCGATAAAAAACATTTTCTAAAAAAAAACTTTCCATACTTGAATCCATCTCCACTTTACAGAGAAACGGAGACTGACAAGATAGTAAAACTATCACAAAATTAAACTATGCAATTTTTTTCTATTCTGTTAAATGTGAAAAAAATGTGACCATGAACAGTGGGACAGGAAGAAAATCTTGTAGCACAGAAGGGAATTTCCTTGGGTTGCACCAAATTAAAGAGAACTTCAAGGGGGTCCTTAAAACGTCAGAGGAATACACCATAGGAATGACCATCAAGAAAGATATGTGAAGATGAGAGAAGTTGCAAAAACCATGATTATTATGATTCTTATGAATAAGAAAATTGTGAAAGTTGAAGCACTAAGTTTCAACAAAACAATTTGAAATTTTACTATGACTTAGTTAAAGATTAAAAGAAGTTAAAAATTATCAGGAGACCTTATTAAAAGGGGTCATCTTATTTTCAGGTAAATTTGGTAAACATTACAAAAAAATATACATAGATACGAGAGGAAATTATTTTATTTCCACTGATGAAAAAAGAGTATACTTTTTTAATTCCACTGATAAAGAATGATTTCAATTTCATTCAAATAAATTACTTCAGAATACAAAATTATATTTCAGACATATTATTCCAAAATATTCCAATCATTAAATAAAACCTGAGTGTGATAAAACAGGTATAATTATTTTTACTTTATTAAAAAATGTCCTATTAGTTGATAGATTTTATTTCAGTACAAAAGGGCACACTGTGATTCTGAACTGAGGTAATATTCACTAGAATAAAATCAGCATGTTAAAAACTACTACAAATAACATTCATTCAAGATGTACCTTTAAACAACAGCAAAAACAAAACTTAATTAGCTTAAGCTATAAATAACTTAACAAAAGGCAACAGAATGCTTTAAGATATTTCAGGGGTATTTCAATGTTTATTTTTACTTTGAATGTATAAAAATAAATTTGTTTCACGAAAAAATACATAAAATTTGTGCACTACATACTTATAAATTATCCTGTAGTTTCACATTGTATCCACAATTTTAAGACACATCAGGTTTCAATTTCTTATTACCGTAATTTTATTTACATGATTTATTCTTCATATTTAATAACAATATCACATTGCCCAGAATAATTCACAAACAATCTTGGCATGTGACCAAAATATTGGTCCAGAACCAAATAAAATTCTGATTTACATGTCATAGAAAATATAATTTTTTGATGCAAGTGATAAGTGTACTTCAATGGAGTTTTATTAAAAATATCCTATCTACATAAAATAACTTGCAGTCAACTGGATTTTTACAACTTTACATACTTTGTATGAAATGTCAATTATTAATGGCATATGTACAATGGATATTTACACAACACTCAGATTTATCTCAAAACAAACTAATACAATCAAACATCTCAGAAACTCCAGTTAATTACAAATATACCATGTAATACTTGATTTTTTTAAAATGTTCTTATCTATTCATTATAAATTATTGTAAAAGTTAAATACATTACAGGCTGTATCTAGAGCTGAAGGGCTTGGATGAGCTCCTAAACCCCGTAAATAATGAAAAAATCTATTATTTCTTTTATCATTCACACTAACTCTGTCATTTTCCAATCTAGAAATTGTCCGCAAACACGACATGTAATCCAAACTCACTGCTCTTCTTTGGGGCCAATAAAGCATGGAAATTGCATCTTCAAACTCCCTGCATGCATTATGTTGCTGTTCTCTCCAACTGCAAAAATGTAAGTATATGTATACCATTTCCTCAAAAAGATACTAATAGTAATGATGACAAATCTGGGGAACAAAGAAAGAAAAGAAAGCACAGAGAAAAATATGGAAGAAGAGGAACTGAAGAGAGGAATTATGTTTTACATTCATTCAATTAAAACTTTCTCCCCTAACCCCCAAGAAAATTTTCTTCACAGTTCAAAAATATAAATGAAAGAATAAAATCACGTAGCTCACAAAATCACCAAATAGCTCCCAAAAAGGATGAAACTCAGAATAAACCACAAGAGAAACACCAATAGCCGAGTCCCCATTTCTAGATCAAATATTTTTTAAATTTTATAATTTTGTGAGAGAAAATATTTTTGTAAAAAATTTAATACAGTAGAACCCTGATTTAACGCAACCCCAGTTTAACGTTTTTGCACATTTAATGTTAATTTCTGAAAGTCCCATTGATGCCTATGTGTAATTAATGCAATTATATTTTTGATTTGTCATTAACTTATCGCATGACCCACATTTAACATTCCAAATTTTCAGATTTTTATTAATTATTTTCTTTCACCAATTGGGGACCATCCCAAATATGTCATCCAACACAATCTGACATGCACTGCAGCCAACTGTAGTGTATGAAACCATTAACAGCTGCAATTACATCTGAATTAAGGTGGTGTTAGTTTGCAGCTCTGAATCAGATTGTGATGTACAGAACCATGGAAATTTCGCACTCACAGATAAAACATTTATGATAATATTGTGATTTAATGATGTATGGGATCATCCATAAATTTCAGTACGCAAAATTTACAGTTTTTTGAATATCCCCTCTCCCCTGTAAGACATCTGTAATACACACTTAAATCACTCCAAAATAATAACACAACACCTGCGACAAGACCCACCCCTCCCCCAATTTATAATAAATAAAAATACATTATACAGTAGAAATGAGTTGTATAAAGTTTATTTGAATTATATATTAAAATTAATATCAGAAACAGTTGGTGATGCAGACTGCATCTTACAATAGGATTTGAGACAATTGAAGGAAAAACGCCTAGACGAGAACATTTCTGAAAATACGCCCTGCACAAGTTGTCGATGCAGATCATCCATACACCGCAAGTCTATTGTGTCAATTTAATTGGATATTTGTAAACAAATTTCTTCATAATCTAGCAGATTCAACGAAAAAATATTTGATTTTATTATAACAATTTGTACATTATAACTTTTTAATTTATTCAATTTTTTAAATTTAAATTGCTAATATTTTGAAGTTTTAGTACAAAACAGAATAAAAAGAAATTATTTCAGAAAATGTTGAAAATAAATATCAGCATTACGTAACCATGACCCCCTACACCTATGTAACAGCCTCAAACAATGATATTATGGACAACCCTTACGATAAAAATTATTCATTTTTTAAAATAAAATGGATAATTCTTGATAAATTTTAACTTGTTTCTTCAAAAATACCCCAAACCCCATTTAATGGAAGTATTTCAGGCTCCCCTGAGGTGATGTTAAATAGGGGTTCTACCATATTTTCTAATGAACTCACACCCATCATTTAAAATAAATAAATATCCAAAGTTTGTTTTCCATGCAGTTCTGAAAACACCTGCGGCACAAAAAAAACTCTCAAATAGGATTTCAGCCTCAATAACCATGTTACCAGTTGTATTTCTTGCAGGATGTTCATTTTGTTTGTAACTCTCAATTGAGGAAAATTATTCAAACAATGCCTAATGTAATTAGGGGATGCATTATTTTAGTGGCTCAAATCTCAAAACTGATTGAAGGAAAAAGTTTCCCAGTTTCCAAAAAACAATTAACTCACAAATGATGTGTCAAGATAGATCAAACTGCACAGCATGAAACATTGTACATCTCTTCACAGATAGTTTTACATATATAATCCTAATCTATATATTGATAGGTAGAACAAAAACTTTAATAGCACGATTTAATAAATACAACACAACTAACCTCATTTCTTCTTGGGGAGGTTGCTGTTGAATGACATTAGCCAGAGGCAAATGCTTTTCTGGACACAACAACGAAGAGCTTTGGCTCACACTGGCAGACACCAACCAATTCCCTATGGACTGGGCAGTGACTTTGGTTCCATAAGCAGATGGTCTCATGTCTTGGCTCAGAGACAAGCTGTCAAAAGGAGCCTTCTCCCAAGCACACTGGTAGGGTTCACTTGCAACACTGTCTGTGGCTGAAGACAGTTCTTCCGCCACTGACAGAGCATCTGCAAGTTGTACTAGCACTCTCATATGGTCAACAGAACACACACTTTTCCATTTGTTGTGTTCTTCATTGTCACCTTTAATTCTACTTTCTCTTTCTAAAGAAGCTTCTACACTTGGGGCCACATGAGTGATTTCTTTCTTGCCTTCATTATTACACATTTCACTAGTTTTTACATGTGATACTTGATTTAAACCTGCAAGTTGTGGCATATTCCACCATATTTTACTCCAATCAACCTGTAAAATTAGGTCGTCCAACTCCAAAAACGAACTAAGGCACTGCGAATGAAGGGGATGATGTGCATCATTTTTTATCTTTTTGTCATCAAGAGACACCCAACTGGAATTAGACGTGTCATCTGGAAAGTCTTCAGGTGTTTCATTGGATGATTCTGGAAGTGCTTTAGAGTTCTCACCGCCAGAAAGCACCCAAAACTGCAACTGCAGGAGCGTTTTCCTGACATCACCTTTGTTAAACCTCAGTAATTCTTCCACACAAGATTTGCGAACTCTCACACCTTCCAAGAGAGCCACCAACTGCAGCCACACACCTGTAATTCAAAGTTTATTTATCAATAGGGAACAGATTTACATGTAAATACATAGTATTTTTATAAGTACAAGATACGTACATTCAATAATTTTCCAGTTTGCAAGATACGTGAATGCATAAAAAAAATTTTCATTTCACATATAGTATTTACCTGTTACTACACATTTCTTACACATTTCATTATATTAAAACCAACTAACATGTTGAAATTAAACATCTTAGATACAAGTTAGATACAATTAATTTTCCTGAAATCTTCTAATTACGGAAAAAAACAACTTTGTAATACAGTGAAATCTTAGTATACAGAACATAAAATTATTTCATTTATACTGAAAAGTCCTTTATATTGAAAACACAATTTTAATTTGTTTTAAATAGTTAACCCAACAAACAACAATGAAAAAAGTCCATATCACTCATTAAAATATTCTCTGATGGAAATTTGTTTTGTCTTTTTGAGCAAGTTGCTTTCCACAAACTGTTCTGCCTCCAATAATAATTCGAGAACTGTCTCTGAAATGTTTATATTTTTCTGAATATACACTATTAACTCGCAATTCACTGCCTCTGTAAGACACAGTTTCAATCTTTTCTTTTTCTACTCTACAATTCTTCCTCCTCCTCTTCATTATTGTCTTGTGATGTAGTCAGAGAATCCCTGATGTTACTCTCTGAGGCAGTAACTTGTTTCAGTCCCAGCATCAATAGTGATATAATCATCAAAAACACTTGATGGAAGTTCTAACTCCTTTGCAATTTGATCCCATACCTCACAATGATCTTCACAAGCCTCAAGCTCTGGCGAAGCACTTGTCTAGGAAATCCAAAATTCCTGACTTTCTCCAATTGGCAATTGTTTTTACATTCCACCAAACCCCTGCTAACATTTGTATCCCTTGCAGGATATTGATTTTGGTTGCAACTTTCAATCCAAGGTTGATTACAATTCATTGAACCAGTAGATTAAGACCCGTATACCTTTGCATTAGAAATAATTCCCTGGTCTAGTGGCTGTAGTACAGAAGTTGGGAGGGAGGAATTCAATATTGATATTTTCCAACCTGCAGTTTATGAGCAGAGCAATTATCTATCAACAAAAGGTTTTTCCTTCGTTTTTCAATATCTCTGTCAAACTCAAGAAGCCAGTCTGTAAACAGTTCTTTGATCACCCATGCTTTCTAGTTAGTTGTATATTTTATTGGCAGAGATGCCACACCTTTGGAACATCAAGGATATATGCAATGTCATATTACAATAAGTTCAATTTTTCAGTACCAGTGGCATTAAAACAAAATAATGCTTTTTTCCACCTACTCACTTTCCCTTCTTGTAAGACATGCAGCAATTTAAGATTAAAAAAATGCAGTTTCATGAGAATATCATTAGGATCATACTTTTTAATTACATTTTTCAGATGATCCTTCCACTCTTGAGCAGCTTTCACATCAGTATTTGTAGCTTCCCCAACAGTCTTCCAAATTTTGCCATATCGCTCACAAAAACGAAACAGCCAGCCAGTGAGCCAGCACTTGCCTGAAAATTCTTTGCATACATTACTGTTGCAAATTCTCTTGCTTTTATTCGTCGAAAATCAGGATCTCCACTATACCTATTGATCGGAGCATTTCACTGATTGCTCATCCACTTTTAGAAGTTTTTCTCTACTTTTTAAAATTGTTGAAACTGAAGTTGGCTTCGTGTCATATGAAGAGGCAACATTGACCTGCTTCACTCCCCTATTTTCTAAATTATCTCCTCTTTCTGTTCTATTGTGCACTGTCTCCTTTTCTTACTTTCCATTGTAATCAAATTGGATTGTAAGTTTTTTTAATATCACCACAACACATGTATTTGCAAACAGAGCGTTTCCTACATTTACCAAGACACTAAATGAATTTTCGGAAGATATTTAATATTTGAAATTGAAGAAGTTGGGATTCCCCAACACTTGATCCAGAAATAAAAGACTCCTTCTTCTATCTGCTGTGATTACGGTGATCTAGGTCTTGGTCTTCATGACTTCGAGTGACATACAGAATCTATATATTATTCCATATTCAATGCTCGTTGCGAACAATGGACATAACCACAAAGGAAATGTTGCAAAATACATTTTCCAAAAATTCTGGGGCCAACAGCACATACAAAAGGAATGAAAATATTTTTAAAAATTAATAATCTGTGTATTTTTAATATGTAATACTGAAATAGGTCCGAGTAAAATCTTCGTAAAAGTGAAATATCTTTACATGGTAATACAGGACATTTAAAGGGCGATTTCAAACATAAATGTAATATTGAAGTCCATTATACTGGCATTTCACTATATTGAGCCTCTATAATCTCCAGAACTTCTCCACAAATTGTCACATAATTGTAATCAAGAATGAGCAAATATTTGTGAAGTAGAAGTAATTGAAGCCATGTGGTTGCTCATGTTTCATAGAACCCGAATATGACTCCATCCAAATTTCACGAACATTTCTTACCCACAATCGGGTCATATGAATAAAAGTAAGTAAATACTTACACTAGAAGATTTTGAAGTGAATATTTGTGCCAGAGAACAAAACCATTGGGGATACTCCCTTGGAATATGATGGGGAGTGGGACTAAATCGTCTTCCCCGGCCCCTAGATCTGTAACTGGCTAGGCAGTATGACTTAATGTGTACAGGCACCACGTGAGCATTATTTACGTTATAACCAAAGAATGAAACGCAACTATTTTGCACATTACTCATACGGTGTGGTTAAAAGTGTTTAAATGTTTTCTCATGTGGTCAAAGAAAATCCCACATTGGCCATTAAATATACTGCCAAACACCCACTGTGGTTCCTGGAATTGTCTTAACCAAGTGTAATGAATGCACCCAGATACATAGTACAAGGGGAAAATTTGCCAGAGGAAAGGGACCAGGGAAGAAAGAATTGGATACAGCACCGCTTCCAGGTGTCTGCAATGAGTAAGAGTATGAACTGTGAAATTGGGATGCTTATGTCACTGCTGGCCATCAGAGCCCTATTCTTATAGTAGGTGGGACTGCTGTTGCTGCACATGCTTCTAATTCATGAACATGTGTTCCATTGAATGAGGCGCCTGGAACTATCAGCCAATGAGGTAAGTAGTCAATGATGACTACTGTTACTATTTTAACATCAGAATCATTTCCAGGCTCGACAATTTGTTCTACAGATGTTGAACAATAATTCTGTCATGGTGAGTACATTATTATGCCTCGTTTTTTGGGTTTGAAAACATGAAAATACTTGTATATATCTTCCAAAAATTTGCATTTTACATACTTTCAATTTTTTTTCACAATTGTTTTGAAAAATAAATACATATTTGCTCTTTTTATTACAATAACTTATTATCCTTATTTATCAATAAGAGGGAAACCAAAACTACGTTTCTACAGTACAAGAAAAATCAAGAAAGCTAATACTTACTGATCATTTTAGAGGGAGGATGCCTGAATTCTAACACCAAACTATTCTCCATAAAACGAGGCAGATGTGGACACGAAGAGTCTGAGGTAACAAGGACAACAGGTCTTTTCGAGCCAATAACAAGAGTACTTAAAGCCGAGACAAAACCCTCATCTTCCTCTTCAAAAACTACATCAACCTAAAAAGATAAACAAAACTTGATAACAAATGTCCTGTTTCTATATAAAGAAAACACATTACAGCCTTTCCCAACTGAAATACCTACATCATCTACAAGAATGAGTGATAGCTTGCTTATTTGCTCTGTTTCTTTTTTTGGCTGTTTAGTCTTCTGTGAGGGTCCATCTGAAATTAAGATATTTAAATATAACTCCACCCAAACAATACTTTCATCACACTTCAAATTTTCTGTTGAAGTACGAGTCATTCCCAACCTTTATTCTCCAGACTCAAAAAATAAACACTCACTGGTTGTAAAAAAGCTCTTGATTCCCGAAACAGTCTCATCTCCTTTCCCCTGCACCTGATGAGATTGTGTGGCCTCAAGTAATTCAGAAAGGATTCTTCGTCCAGTGCGTTTAGATGCTGCATTCACTTCCAACACCTATGCAGGATAACCATATTTTAAAACATTTAAAATGGAAATAAAAATCATCAAATTAATCAAGAAATTATTTTGTATAGCATTAATAAATTGAAAACTTACCTTGAAGCCAAGTTCATGAGCCAATGCATATACTGTCATTGTTTTACCAGAGCCAGTAGGACCCATGAGAACAACTGACTTTTTTGGAAGAACTGTACGTCCCGATTCATCATCGCTTGCGTCATTTAGAAATTCATCACCACTACTAACATCTGTAGAAAACAAAACCATTTCAAAACAACAAACATTATTTTATTTTTTAAAAAGTGGTGCTACAGAACTGCAATAAAAAAAAAAGGAAGAAAAACAATTAATACAAAGTCAATGTTAATGGCAATAATCAACAACAGCTAGCAATACGTTTGACATAAAATCAATGAATAGATCAATTTCAATGTTTGAACACAAGAAGAAGTTTGTACGTTTTAACATCTTTGACAATTTTGACTTATACTGAAAGACTTTGGGCAAGATATAATATGTGTGTATGCCATGGTGGTAAAAATAGTAAACTTAGGCTTACTGTAATGTAGGGAGCGAATGCTGACGGGTCTGAAAAGCTCTGCCCATTTGTTATAGGAAAGTCAAAGAAATCTCCATGCTTCCAGAATGTGAAAACATTGCCCACAAAATGAGGCCAATCAAAAAGCTTGAATAACTTCCGACCTTTTTGAGAGGCAAAGGAATAATCTTGATGCAAAGATGGGAGCGCAGAACAGAATATATATCTCGTGTGCATGTGTGCGTGTTTTGTTGTTGTTATTGATCAGTGCTCTGCACATCCAAACATGAAATTTTAGAATTGAATTCTTGCTAGCAAACAGCAAGCTAGTCACAGCCAATGGATTAAGGAATAATCCATGCTTTTAAGACCTACTACAGAAAAAAAGTTGTGCAGAGATGATTAGGTTGGATGGAGTCAGGGAAGGACACAATGACTTTCAAAATATATATCCTTAATGTACTGCATTATATTGCAAAGGCATGGACGGACATGAGTGAATCCGCTATATGCAATAGCTTCCGAAAAACTGGCTTCTTCCAAACATGTGAGGAAGACATAAGTGAAGACGTAGACCGTGATCTTATTTCTGCACGGGAGAAGTTGAAAATAGATTATGAAATTAATGACTTCCTCCATTTTGACGATGAACTGGCGACAATGAAAACTGTGTCGGTAAAAAATGTAATCTATTCTGTTCAAGAAGAAAGTGACAGAGATATTGATTTTGGTGATAATGACAATAACGGTGATATTAGTGTGCCTAATTGTGCAGAAGTAGTTTCTGCAATAAACACCATAAAAAACATTTCTGCAGTAGATAGTGACATTAACAATTTTGACCATGTATCAGAACAAAAGTAAGTTGAAAGCAGAAGGCCAAACAATCATCTATATTAGATTTTTTAACAAAATATTAGAATTTTTGAATTTTGATGTAATATATATTATTTGATGTTTAAATATTTTATAAAAGTGACTGTAAATTTTCATTTTGTTACATGTTGCAAAAGAGTTTTTCCTCCATTTACACAATTTTTTTGTGGTCCATTGAAAAGTGTAAACAAGGGTTTCCACTGTATTAGGATTGTTTTGATGCTCTTTCTAACTTGTATCATAAGACTGTTTCACATTTGATTAATCAGCTTCAAATTGTTAGGTTGCTGAAAATCTGGAGTGTGTTGCCACCAGTGTGGTATATTAGTTACATTCCTGGAGACAAACCACCCCCCCACACACACACACACACACATACTACCACTAAAGATCAAGATAAAGACAGTTCCAGCATTCTTTAGTTTCAAAAAGAAGGGTTTTAATATTTTGTTCCAGAAAGGACTCATTCAAACTACACTTTAAGGATGTGTCATGAATCCAGAAACATGCAAAGTCAGCTCAGTACATTTCTCAAATCAGTAAAGAAGATACACACTAAAACTTATTGATTTGCAAAGCAATCTTGGTCACATAAAAAACTCTAGTTTCCATGAACACCTCCGCAAAAAACAATTTGTATAATGGTGTACACAGAACACTATGCAATCAATCACTTATAATTCAAAACTCAATGCAACTTCTTAGGGTTAAGCAATTATCTTTTCAATTAACTTTAAACGTACTCACCTTCTTTAAACTTTTTCTGGAAAGTATTTTCTTTTACTTGCACCCAAAGTTCCAACCACTTCTTGAAACGGCTTATGGTATAACCATTTCCCAAAATATTCTCTGATGATAATGGTCGATACTTTGCTGTCCAAGCGGCACACCTTTTCTCTGAGTCCTGGGCACTGTTTGCTTGTTCTTTCTTCTTCGCTAAACTGCTTCTGCGTTTTCCTTTTTTTTCAGCATTATCCTTGACACCTTTTAACTGCTGTGGATGATTTATCTCAAGAAGGTATCTGAATGTACGATAAACAGGAAAATCTCGAGATTCAGCTTTTATGCACCGGAGAAAATCACGAAACAATAGGATCTTTGGAGGCTGAGAAGCACTGTAAGTCATTGTACCTATGAAAACAGAAAGAATGATTCCAAATCACCAGAATATTCCTTGAAGTTTGTCTTTTAAATTAATCATAAATTAATCATCCACACCTCACAACTATGAATTGCAGAAGTTATTATGATTTATCAATTTCCTAAGATTCTCCCTCACCATTACTATTACAATGGAAGTTATTGCCAAAAATGGAATTCAATAGGTTAGGTTCCTTTACAAACATTAGAATTTGCAGAAATGTTCAATGTATTTGCATATCTTGGGATTTGATAAATGAATTTTAAAAAGTATCACGCAATGGGGGAACAAAGCCGAAGCAAATAGGTTAATGAAAACTGACCATTATACCACCACTGTAATAGTGCATACATCCAATAACAAATGTCACAATAAAAAAATAAGTATGATTTTATGAAGTATGATGTCTGAAAATAAGTATGGATTTATGGATAGGAACAGTGAATTATACTATCACTTCGAATCAATCATGAATTTGTACACAAAAATAAATCAACACACATTTTCTATAGAATGTTTGCAAATAGTTCATTGCATATAAAATGCAATTTACATTACAAGTGACAATTGAGAAGTGAACCTACTCTACAAATTACTACAAATTGACTGGATATGGAACTCTCAGCTTGTGTATGAGTTTCACAATGAAGAAACTTACTATTTTATGACTTTTTACTTTGAATCATCAAAGAAAATTGTACTTTGATTAAAATCATTGGAATTTCCCACACTATAAAGTAAAATTTCAAATATTCACTTTTTTATTTTGTTTGTATCTTTATTTTATTACACTGCATTTCATCATCAAATTCTCATATCAAACAGAATAGGAACTAATGAATTCGATGTTAACATTACTCCAACCATACATGATCGAATATTAGAATGCTATATTCCCTTCATTTGTTAATTTTAAGTTGGAGACAAGGGTACAATGCATCATTGGAAAACCTGCTGTAATTGCGCGTTACTAGGAAACCATCATCAAGCACAAAGAAATTCAATACAATGTTTAGTGGGGGATTACTTGATACTTCTCTTATATTATGTGCATAAAATACAATACATTTTATCACTTACTGATAGAGCCTTCAGTGCATTTTGTAAAATTTCCCTTGAAGTCTTCTGAAGGAGTTGGTAATGTAACATCCAGAGTAGGGGGAAATTTTTGGAGAGCATCAGCTAAATTCCAAACTAATGCACCATCATCTTTTTGCTGAATATGGGATATCAATGGAAATTCAGTATGTTCCTGCTCTTCTGCTCTACAAAATTTGCATAAAAGAGCATTTAATTGTTTTTAAATTCCAGATCAGAGGAAATGACTTACAACTAAAACAAAATTTTGCTTTAAAGATATTTGAATAAAACATATCAACAGGCTTGAATTCTTTTGTTTCTAATTATTACACCTTTGCTAGTCATTTGCAGTTCCTAAAGCTAGTAAAAATTTGAGCCATTTATGTGCCTGCCTGCCAAAACTCCTAAAGAGAATCTTAAAAGCATGGAAACTTGAAACATTATCCCAATGACTTCTCATTTCACAATTCAGTAATTTATTAGGATACATGGCAATGCCCTCTACCTTGCAATAAACAAGAAATATACTCATCCAAAGCACATTGCCTTAAGTCACACTTTAATCCCCTAAATGGAACTGTTCATCCACAAACTATAATATATTATTCTTTTCAGGGATTAGGACAGTCTCTTGTTACATCTTGGACATCCTTTTTACCATAAGATCTGTAGTGATATATTTGTTTTGGGATGCAGTCACCACTCATTATGTGTACATGTTAGGACCATCGGGTGCAGTATTCTTGTACTTTATTTATTAATGTAAGCACTTATATTTCTTCTCTAATTATCTCACTTTTTATTATGTCTAATAGAGGGCAGCCATTGACTTGTCTCAAGATCGTCTCAGATGTCTGAATTCTGGTAAAATCTTTCTTTACATTAGTCCACGTCTTGCATCAATAAAGAAGTATGAGGATAGCCATTGTTTTATAAAATATAAGTTGTGTTTCATTTATTGTTTTCTTTCTTAAGTTTTTATCCTTGTACCACAGATGTTTTGGAATATTTGGGTTTTTATGAAAATATCTTTATTGAATTCAAAAGTAATATCATAGCCTAAATACCTAAAATGCCTAACTTGTTCTATAACTTTATTATTTATTATTATCTTAATTCATATAGGATGTTTGCCTCTAAACGCCATAACTTTATTTTCTGAGTTGAGATTCTCAAATTATATCGTCCACATATGTTATTCAGTTTGTAGAGAGCCCTCTTTAACTGATTCTCACTTTCTAAGATAATTACCTGATCACTGCAAATGAAGTATTTACTACAATAGCTATAATGTCCTTCTGCCCTTACAACCAACAAAGCTTCATTTCCAAATTTAAACATATTCATATTCTTTTTCCATCATACTTTAGCTTGTAAGTTAAACTACTCCACACTCCAACTTACTTTAAAACTATATTATGTATAGGTAACAATCGTATATCAAAATGTATAACAAGTTCATTAAATTATAATCACAATGATATTAAAAATTAGTATTGTTAAATATTTATGTTACATAATTAGGACATGACTTGGGGTCACGAAAATTACATTAACTTAATATTTGTAACTGTCTTTTAGCTCTAAAATAACTGAACGTAAGCACAACAAATTTCTGGACGATTCCAATTCCTATTTCGCATTGGGCTGCCCAATATTTTCTGAACAGCTCTGTGCACATGTGTTTGTGTCGTGCTTGCATTGCCATCGAAGGGAGAGATATCTCGTACAAACCACACACATTCTCTGAACAGCAGGTATATATGGAATGTATTTTCTCATTTGATTATCTTCTCCTATTATAATTTACCCATTCTATTAATAATGAAAATTCATTGAATATCTCAATAATTTTTTCTCCCTGGCTCTCGCTATCATATACAATTCTCTGAATCAAGAAACATCATACTTTGCATAAAATAACAACTTTCATTTAAAATAAATGTTATTTTAACGAAAAATTTAAAAAATTCAAATAAATACATTTTATGCCCAAAAATTTGTAAAATATGCAATCTATGGGAAAAAAAACTTTTAACCGAGATCAATATTTTACCATGAAACAGATTTTAAGTTTCTGACACAATGCCCATTAACAAAAAATACACTTGCAGTAACTTCCCAGCTTTTATTTATAACATTTTACTCTATAAGCTTAAATTTCAACTAATTCTTAATACTCTTGTTTTGTATCTCATACATCATAGATAGCTTTCATTACTTTATAAATAAAAATTCATGAACTTTACATATAATAGTCATATCCATTTAGGACTTCAATATATTTATCATTCTTGCTAAAGAACAACTGAAGGAAAACTCACAATTTTTGAACCTCCACCATTTTCTTAACAACTTCAGGGACACCACTTTGCAGAAATGTTTTTCGAGCCAACATTGTTACCTTGTCTGGTTTCTTTGCTTTCTGAGAGACAAAAACCGGAGCCAGTTTAATTGGCACTGCAACAAACAGTACATACAGATACCATTAATAAAAATAATCCCAATAAACATATTGATATTTCAAATTTCCGCAGGTACAAAATAAATTAACACAATTAATTACTGGTTTTGTATTCTAACTTTCTAGATTTTCTAAACTATAGTGTATACGTCCAAATAATTCTTTCTCAATGTAGAAAAACTTATGAAAGTAAATTTTCTCACTAGCAAATTATCACTTAATAATGATGCACATAATGTGAAAGCATTTCCCTATTACAAATTCTCATGTAAACCTATACTGCAATTTATGCAACTCTGCCCCTCGCAGGTATCAGCTGTCGACAGTTTCATCCAATCAGGAGCTGATACCTGCCAGGGGCACAGTTGTGAAAATCGCAGTATATGTTAATCAATTAAAACCATTACCACTAATACTCTGGTAGCAAGCAATTCAGTTATAAAAAAATTGAAAGGAAAACACATACACACAAAATGAAAAGAGGAGAAATAAGTTTCAAAACATTATTAAATAAAAACTGTATAAAACCATCAAATATAGAAATGAAATATCATAATCAAATTTTGTACGTATTAGCAGGAATTACTGGAAATTCAACCTATGTAGTTGTGCCACAAGTGCTGTGACAGTTAGCTTGGGAATATTGGCATTCTTTACACTTAAAATGTTTATTGGCTACCTCTCATAGTAACCTAGACAACAACAATCAGTTCAGAATGGTTAAGTACTCAGGATATTTTTTTCTAGCTACTTCTCTTTGAAAAGCTATATCTATTAGATGTTTGTGTTCCCACCAAGCTCAATTAAAAATACTCATTCCATTAAACTTCTAAAACAAGATTTTCAATAGATTCAAAACCAAGTAGCCTATGATAAATTAAAATATTCTTGTTGCACACACAATACAATAATTAACTTTGCATAAACAATACTATACATTACAATAACTAACATTGTAAAAAATAGATATATTTCGTGAAAGAAGTTTAGGCAAAAAAATAGACAAAATGTTGACTCTTGGCATGACTAAAATTTATTAATTCACATCCTTCAACAAACCTGATTTTTTTCCTGCATCATTTGTTTGTTTACATGGGAAGTTTTCAGGATCATGTAATGCCATTTTTCTGTTCAAAGTTCCTTTAGCTTTTTTTATAAATTGCAGAACTACTTCTTGATTAAGCATTTTCCCTTTTGATTGTGCTCTCTTTACTTTAGAAATAGCAACTTTTTCTGAAAATGCGGCTATCAATTCCTTTTTAGAAATAGGTATGCTCTTAGAAAGGGCCTTTTTTTGCCTAAGTGAAGCATGTCTTCTTTTAGAAGTCATGTTTCCTTCTTTATCATTCTTTTCCTTCAAATCAAAAGTGGAATCAACACACTCTTGGTGATCACTGTTGATAAAATTTTCATCACTATCACCAAAATCACTGTCATAATAATCACTGTCGCCAAAAAAATCATCATCACTGTCATCATCAAAATCCTCCTCTTCATCATCACTGATTCCATAATCTGCAACACCAAGTGAAAGTATCAAATAAAATGAAACAGTTTCATACCAGATAGGCATTAAATTAAATAAATTTTTCCATGCTTTTATAATTGCTCAGAAGTACTAAAAATGCAACTATCTAAAATGTGAGTTCATCTTTAAACACAATTCTTACCATTTTATACTTGCAGTTATGTACATAGAAACTATACAATGTTGTGCACAGAACTTGAAAGTACTTACCTGCAGCTAGGAAAGCAGACTTCTTGCGAGAAGAACTTCGACGACCAGCAGATGAACTTAAACTTTCAAACATATTTGAACTCTGAAAAGCATTGCTCTCTTCATGAACAGGTGTTCTTGCAGAGACACTTCTCTTTCGTCTGGCAGTTATTGCTTCCCCCTTTGATTTCTTTGAGGTATCAATATCCTCCTCTATGTATGTTGTTTTCTTTGTGGTGCAGCTTCTTTTAGCCCGACCACATGTCGATGTTTCATCTTTTTCTTCAGAACTCATGTTATTCTTATGCTTGGTCAAAGACAACACTTTTTTCCCTCTCGTAAAACTATCATTCCCAATATTTTTCTTGGAAGAAATACTTTCTTCTTCCAAACAATTACCATTTTTCTTTATAAAAGTGCATTCAAGAGATTCTTCATTCTCCAGGAGACTTTCAACTTCTTCCAAAACTTTTTTAGGAGTACTGGTATCTTTCTTTGCGAGATTATCTTTAGCAGGTGATTTATTCTTAATAGTCTTTTTTATCGGAGAACTTTTGGCACCAGATTTCTTTAGAGGAGGTGACTCTTGCAACACAAAAGAACGTTTTCTTTTTAAAGTTGTCTTAGTACCTGTTGGTTCTGGCGAAAGTTGGTTCCCTTCATTACAGTTTTTCAAGAAAGATCCTTTTTTCTCAGTAGATTTGCTTTCCAAAGTCGGAGTGGAAGATTTTTTAGCGACAAATGTTTTCCTTCCTTTGGGAGTGTGTACTTTCACTCCAGTAGAGCGCTTTTCATTCAGAGTGACTTCCTTATCTAAACGAGAATTTTTACTTTTCTTATATTCATTATCCAAAACTTCTTTCATCCTTCTCAATAAAGGTTCGTTTTCATCAGCTGTTTCTTTCAGTTCACAAACACCCTCCTTGTCTTTACAGGACTTGTTCTTCACAGGAGTAGACTTCGCTAAAACCAACTTTTTCTTCTTTTGCAAACTGGAGCTAGGAGAGGACTCTCTTAGATTTTGCAATTTGTCCTCCACAATTGGTATATCCTTCCCATCTAACTTCCGATTATTGTTCGATAATGGCACCTCATCTGTTTTTTCCAATGTAATATTCAGTGATGTCTCACTGTTTCTGGGTTTTTTATCATGTATCTTTAATTTTCTCTTTTTAACTGGAGAACTCTTTTCTTTGCGATTTGCAGTCGGAGATTGCTTAATTTGAATCCGTATTTTCCAGTTTTTGAGGGATGGTGAGCTGCATTTTGATTCTGTTTGCAGAGGTGGACTGGTAGCACAAGGCACTCTGCTTTCTACCACAGCAGCAAAAGATTTTGTTGTTTCAGAATCTTCAAGATTTTGTTTCTCAATTATTTCTGAGTCAATCAACTGAATATCATCTTCATTTGATTCTTTCTTTTTAGATCTCTTTTTCATTACAACTTTTCTAGATACTTTTACATCAGAAACCACAGGAAAATGCACATCAGCAGTAACTTTTATCTTTTCAGATTGTTGTCGTTTCACATCATTGGACACTTTATTAAAATAATTCAAAATATTACCCTTTTTCATGGTGGCATTAGGTGTGGCAGAAAAGTCATTCGAATTGATAATCATTGCTGAAGGATCAGAGTTACCACATTTTTCATTATCTACATTGCTTTTTACTTCCAAATCTTCAACTTTTGTATCAGCAGTACTATTCTGAAGATCAATATTATTTTGTTGCAATACTTCAATTTCATTACATACATTTACTTCCATATTCTTTGACTTTCTTGCATTACTCTCTTCATTTTTCTTCTTATTGAACTTTCGAGATTTCACAACTTCAGATTCTAAAATTTCCAGTTCAGAAATTTCATCAGATATCTTGTTTTTACTTTGTTTTCTTTTTATATCAACTTTAAGAACAGACTTTCGTCGTTTCCCAGGTTTGTTTTCAAGAACTTGATCTGACATAGCATCAGAACTGTTTTCTGTCACTGAAGTTGCTTCACTTTCCGGGTCAGACTCAACAATAATCCTTCTCCGTTTTTTCGCAGATTTTCCACCAATTATTTCACAAGCTTTTATATTTGCTTCCATTTCCAACTTCCGCTTTGCCATTTGTTCCAAATTTTCTTGGATCTTTTTTTTATTTTCACGCTTCAATTGATCATTCTCAACAATATCTTGGGAACAATTTTTTCTACCAGAATTTGTGCTACTGAACACCTGCTGAGTGGACATAAGAACCTGAAAAGCATTAGGAGACAGTGATGTACCTTCAGGACTCTCAGGTTCTACGCACTTTTCATCACTAATAACATTACCGTTCTCTGCATATTTCTTCTTGGACCCTTTTCTTGTTTTTTCTTCTAATTGTTTACTGCTTTCACCTTCATCACAATTTGAAGTACCATTAACATAACCAGAAGGCTTTCCAGAAGCTGTAAGACATTTACGTTTGTTTTTTCGTGCACTTGAATGTTCTTTTACTAAGACCTGGCATTCTTCTGGATCACACACATGATTTTCCAAGCTTCCCGCTTCATTAATCCCGTTTCTACTCAATCTTTCAAAACAAGGTGAAACCGAGCCATTACGATCAGAACCCAAATCCGGAGGAGATTTCTCAATCACAGCTACATCATCTACAGAAGAATTATTTGCATTTACTATCTTGTTTGGAGATTGAAAATAATGAGTCAAATCTTTCATGATTATTATAAACTTATGCACTAAGGAAAAATATATTTGCTTTTCCACCAAACAGTCATCACTTTCATGTATTAAACCAATACCACTTTCGGCATTATTAAAGCACTTAAAGATCTGCTCACAACCTAATATATAAAACAAGAGTTAAACTCCAATTCTTATTCCACAAACATCACATAAAAGCAGTCAATCCAAACCTTTCCCGCACACCTGCCACACACAGCCCTCAAAACAAAACCACCACCCCCCTCAACGGCTTGGCGGGAGAAAAATACCGCGAAACTCAAGCAATGTTGCCACGTCGTATTATCTCTGACATTTGTTACACAGAATTTCCATTTCATGAGGTGTAAACATAGAATACGATTCTTTCATTGTGAAAAGATCTGGATGACTTTGTGATCTTATCCCTTAACCTTTCCCCATTCACAAATCAACCCCCGAAGCTACGCCACTGTATCCCAGCCGGTGGCCTGTATCTTTCCGGTGGCCTATCTCACGGCATTACGCGTCTTTCAGGGCCGGTTCACTCAATGTTAAAAGACGGGGGAATAAGTTTGTTTCTTCAGTCATGGACCTGGTGCAGATAGCGCAGCTGTTGCATTTTAGCGCGTATTTTAAAAGTAAAGTTCTGCGAAAGCTGGTTGTGGTGCGTGTAGGGAATATCCATGAGTATTATCTGCTTTTCTCATGTTTTACTACAAATAATTAATCGTAATATTTGCAGAATATGGGTAAATGTTCCGCAAGAGGGTGCTCAACCTCTATAAGCTCCCCAAAAATCAACAGATGCGTGAACGATGGTTGAAAAACATAAATCGCCAAGATTTAATTAGTAAATTATGTATGAAATATTATAAAAGTTAATAAAATTGTTTGTACGAATGAAATTAATAAAATATGCACACTTTATACAATTTGTGAGACAGAACCTCACTTCTATTGATGAGATATTTTTATAGAAGAAAATGTACAATCTGCCCAATAAATGGGGATCTGTAGACCATTAAATAATTTCTTGGTCACATAACAATTTTTAATGAAAATTTAACATGAATACATAGATGAAAACGGGAAAATATGGTATAAATATCTCATTTCGTAAATTCATATTAGTAATAAGAAACTTGGTATATTTTTCTAACTGTTGGAATGTTGATATCTGTTCAATTATTTGGTGTCAATTTGTTTATTAAATGATTTTAATTTAATTAATGGAAACTAAAATTTAGAAATATTTACATTTTGATTGTCTTGCACTGAATGTATTGGAACACAACCTAATAAAAATTGACTTAAGACAATGTAAATTGATGTATATTAATTGTTTATTGTCATTTCATAAGCATGTTCATTTTAATGTATATTACTTTTTTTTTCTCAAAATATTTCATTTATGTGAAAAAGTTTATGAGAAATATAATCTATTTTTTATATTAACTGATTGACTATTATTGATTTAAGTCTTTATCTGTAACTTATTTTTTCAAATATTTTCACATATTACAAATAATAAATACTAACTTAAATCAGTGATTTATTAGAAATTATAATTTAATTTAAATCATACCAACCTTAATTTTTGGTGACATTTTATAGCCAAAAATAGAATTGTAATTTTGATACAATATCAATCATTGGTTAAGCAACTATTTTATGTAAGTCTTTGAAAACCAAGGAAAATGAAACTAGTTTTATGTTGGGCAAGTTGATTCGCCTTGAAGTTAGTATAAACATACCAGTAAATATGCTTAGTGTACTAGGATTAAACAGTGAATTTGCATTGTTTACGAAAAAAATCTTTTATGAAATGAAAATTTGTGGAAGATACAATAATTTCAATTTCGCCTGTTTCCCTGAATTTTTAGGCAATCTTCTTTTGGGTTGGGAATATTCTTAACTTCAAAATAAAATAAACAATTGGCACAGATTTCTTCCATTTAGGCTGCAATATAAGATTTTTCATTTTTTACAGCTGATTGCTCACTGCACATCATGACTATATTTCCTCAAAGTCCACACACAAACTATCCTCATTGAAACCTACAAATGGGCAGAACAATACTAAATTGTTTTGGTTGACAGAATTTTGACAGTACATATAGTAAAATTAGATTAGATTTTTACTGTAACTATCAATAATATTATAACAGGATTTATTGTTCAGATGATTCATTTACCAATTCAATTTGGGCTACATTTAATTAAAAATCATCTAAAACATTTTGAATACATGGGTATTGCAAACAATGGATATATAGATATGCAACTTTTCTTGAACGATGGATTGACGATTTCAGGTGGAGTGGGGGTATTAGTTACAAAGTCGGTCACTAGAGTATTTTAAGTAATGCAAACGTGTGTGGAATAAAAGTCAAAACTGCATCTTGTGCTTAACTTTTTCGGGAGTTTTAGGTGACTCCCTTGAAGGACCTGGACCTGACTCAGCCATTTCTTTCGATATTGACATTAAATGTGAACAGGAGGTCTGCACTATGAAAGCAACTGGCTTTGACTATCTTCTCTTTCGCGCCAACGAAGTTTTAATGCTTGGAAGGTTGTCATCAGTGCCCGCTGCGAGCTTTTGCCTTCAACTGTTTATTGCCCAAGGGAGGGGGATCAAGGTCATCGTTCAAGAAAAGTTGCGCGAGTAATACAAAACTTGTCCAATACCATACAAAATAATATAATTACAATACTTTCACACAGAATAAATGACACATGTACTTAGGTTAGGTAATACTACATGAATTTAATGATTATTAAGACTATTTTGTATGGTATAAATGCTCACAAATGAAATGATCAATTACAATTATGCAATAAGATGCTGGTGGGGCGAAAATCCTAGCAATGTATTTGTCTACCTCCAGTCTTCTCAGTATAATCTTCCAAAACACCGAAAACAAAATTTTAGTCAGGGCAAATAAATATCGCGACACAATTCTCTGCACTTAAAAGGCATGACATTCTACATACTAACAGTGCTGAAAAAATTGGATAAAAAAGGAGCACCTCCTGCACGCAGCCTGCAAGTAACAAAAACAAACACCGCCTACGTTGCCAGCTCTTTGAATTGCATGACGTCACACATTTAGTTCGGTTCACTACGGACCTACTATAGGTGGCGCAAAAATCATTACCCCGTTTTGACCGCCAAGTTTCAAGTCCCTGGCGTCTTTCTCGGTCCTGCCGCTAGATGTTGCATGATTGCCTGCTGAAAACGGTTGCGATCATGCGATGTCTAGCGGGCCAACCAAGAAAGACATGAAATGCCCTAAGATTTAGGGTGAGCTCAGAATGACTACAGTTGTCCCCAATCGTGAAGAAAAGCCCTCCAAGCAACACCACCTAGATACTATCTAGGTGGTGTTGCTCCAAGTCAGTAGAGAGATGTCCAGAATGACGTCAACGTTTGGCGGGAAAGTGTTAGGTGGCAACTTCTGTTGTGAGTGTTAGCGAATCCTAGATATAGTTTTGGGCTGTATTATGCGGTTGCCGAGGTGCGTGTGTCTTATCATATTTGTTATTTAGAATGATATTTTCATTCTTCCGGTTTGTTTAGGTTATGCTTGCAAATTTCGTCGTCAAAATGCATTTGAAAAAAAATTATCGACACGTCCAGTTGCTACCTTTTCTTTTTGAAAACTGTTCGAAGTAAACATTATTATGAGCTATGATGCTGATTGAAAATAAAATGAAATGTTTGAAAAAATTGGTTTCACTTGCCAATTCATGGGTTTCGAAAAGTACCAACAACTAGTACGTTAACGGATTAGTTATTCCTTACTAATACGTATACGTACTACGCCAAGTTCTTGGCTAGTCAACATGACTGTAAAGTGTGTTGTCAAAGAATACTAGTAAAATGTCAACAAAAAATGTCGAGCTTCTTGTCGGCATTTTAAAATTTATTTTAGAAATTTGTATAAATTATCATCCATAGAATGATATTAAAACTTAATAATCGCTTGGGAAAAATGCAGAATGTTCATAAACCAACTACTGGTTCTTCAACAACACATACTTTCTCGCCGTTTTTAAGAGAATGGCGTTTAAATGTTCTGTCAATTCGAAAATTAAAGCTCTATTTCACAGAACATGGTTGAGTTTTCGAAAAATTTCATTTGAAGTCATTTGAAGCACTTTAACTCACAAATACAATAGTTTACAAATTGATGCAAATGTGCATAACGGCATCAGAGATCTTTCAAAGAAATTACATTTGTGTAATTTTTGAAGAAAAAAACAAACACACACAGTGAAATTAAGTTTTATAAATGCAACTCAGCCCCTGGCAGGTGTCAGCCGTGGACGGTTTCATTCAATCTGGAGCTTAATCGTCACTAGTGTCCATTTAACCCTTTAATAAAGATTTTGGACACTTGAAAATAATGGGCCCATTTTCCTAACAATTTCGAATTATTTCAATGAGCGTTTATTTACTATACGCGCAAGTTTTCTCGATATTCCATAGCGGGGGGTGCGGGGAGAGGAAGGATGTGGCTACGTCACGGTTGAAAAGGGCGTACCAACTGTGGGCATGAACTTAATTCGCCAAATCATGGCACTAGTAATGCTACGATTGTTTTGAAAGTACGAGGTGGTTGTTGTCAGCATTGTAAATGAGTACGTGCCGTTCCGAGTCAAACCTAAGTATGTCAACGTGCCGTGCTATTCAGCGCTGGATGAGGACTAGGGAGCTCGTGTATCAAGAAAACTTGCGGGAGTAATACTTTGTACTGTGGTTATTTGTCATTGTACAGCAGTTATTTGAATAATAAGTTTTGGATAAGAGATAGCGAGGAAGAAGTTTTAAATGGCAAGCAAGACCAATAGCCCTCACCCAAACGACAAATTAAAAAAAAAAAGACATACTCAGATGCAACAATATCTGCATTTATCATTTCACGAATTGAAATACAGGTGTAGATCATGATACACGAGATGAAGCCAAATAGGGATGAATTACATTTGTTTGTAACAACTCTGCAATCAGAAACGAACTTTAATTTAGAAAATCCTTCTATAAATTGAATAGTCATCTGTAACAAAGCCTATATTTTTTGAATTGACAAATCAGACAATCATAACATTGTTGCATCTGAAATCATTAGGGTTGATATCTAATTACATTTTGCCAGAAAAATCTTAATTAAAATTTCTTAAACAAAATCACTCAAATTAAATACTCATCACATGATCAACATTTACTTACCTTTTAAAAATATCCTATGGTTTTGGGCAATGTTTTAATTTTGAAGTTTTGTCAGTCACATCCCCATTACCAGCAGCAGCCTTTGATTCACTTTAAATTGTCGATTCCTAAACTTCCAAGAAACTGAAGGTCTTATGTCCCCTAAATTAACTATACATCCTTAATCCTAACATAATCTAAAAGTACTTAAAATGGTTTTGAAACCTGAAAAATCAACAACTTCTAACGATTTCGTTTTCTGAGATTTTCACTTTTTTGGTCTTCAGTCCTGTCAATAGAGAATATAACTAAGAGGCTCCTCTCCTGCCATAGCAGAACCAACAGACACATGTTTGCATAAGGGGATTTTCCCCATTACGTATCTCCTAGACTGGAGAAGCCCCTGATATGCATGGTAGTGTAGTGTATGCAAGTGTACATGAGGAATGGATAAGTCAAACTGCAGTGTGGTCTCTTTGCATACACCTAGAATCAACGGAAACCCTCAAATTCAAGGTCTATTCACTGTAACTTTTCTCAGGTCCAAAACAATTCGATTTGTCAGTCAAAAACTAGAACAATGGAGATTTTTTTTCTATCACAAAAATGTTAGCAACCAAAAACAAATTAAAAATCTTTACATGTATTCCTGTCATACACTGTGATTGCACCTTCTGCATCACAATCATATTGAAATGGTAGCATGTGTCAGCAAGAACTGTTATATATATGTTTACTTTTACACATCCAAAATACCAGTCAAAACAGATTCATTTGCTCTATTATCAGAGAAATTACATTTACAAATAGCCATTGTGATGAAAATTTTACCCAGGACAGTGATTAGACAAGCACAAACCTTGATCAACATTTCGATTTTTTTTTTTTTTTTTTTTTTGAAACATTAACATCAACGTGATAACGCATATTTCAGAAATTCATCACCCTTCCTGATTATTGGTTCTGCTCAACTTACATAGGTTCAACAGTAATTTTTTCACCTGCCTATCAGTATGATTTTTTTAAGCTGCTATTATATCAACCACATTCAAACAATTGAACACTTGAGGGATTTTTCCTTAATGTGTGAAACCTGATGTACGAGGAACTGACCCAGTGGATCCAATAATGCAACAAATATTGTAATAACTAGTACTATAACTGTAACTAGTACAATACTTACCAACAAGATAACCCCCACATTTACAGAACATTCCCACTCAATAATAGGACATTGACTAATATGTTGCTGAAACCAGTTACGTATGAAGCAAGAAAACACATTAGCTTCACACCACGTACATGGAGGTGTGGTACAAGTGTTGCACAACACCTGAAGCTAAAATCAGCTGCACCTTACAATTAACGTGGTGTTTTATGAAAAACTGCCCATGAGCGCTCTTAGCAACTTGCATTGTTCCAAGCCTTACTCGCTGTCTGATTTTACTTCAGGGCAGTGTCAAAAGCTACAAACCATGCCTGACCTCGACTTACATTGTAGTTCGAACATCTTGCTTGAACAGTCAGCAAAACAAACCGACAAGAGTGCTCACGAGTAGTTTGGCACAAGAGTGGCAATCTACAAAGCGCGTTGTTTAACATCTCATGACTTGTGCGGAAGAATCGACATCCATCAGTGTTACGTGACACATCAACTCACAGCTTGTGTATCTCAAGTCAAAACATCTCAACTGCTATTACTTACCATCTGATTTTACTTCAAAGCAGAAGAGAACATATTCAACTTAGTACAGGTAGAGTTAAATAATAAAAAAATTTCCCTAGCAAGTCACGTCTTATTTTATCTTTGCCCAACATTAGTCAATAAAGACATTTCAGTCTAGTATCAAGAGATCTTCAGAGTAAATAAATCCTTGATATAATACACCCCCCCCCCCCTTTTTCAGTTTCTTATTTACCACTTTCTACTTTCATACTTCTTTGTGTACATTTATTGTACCATGAACATTATCAAGATTGCTTGTGCATATACAGTATAATCTAAGCTGGACTCTGATGAAGGAAAAAAAACCCAAAAAGAAACACTCCTTTTGTTTTATGTAGGGTAGTTCATTTCATGACTTGGGAATATTGATACTTCTATTCAGAATACGAGAGTAAATCACATAATTATTAAATTACAGCAACATATGTATTTATGGAAGAAATTACCAATAAATATTACTCATTGATAGCATTAGTTTCTCTTGCTTCTGTAAGTTTGACCTGGCCATCTAAGGTAGTTTCGGTTAACTGAAAAATACACATCACTGCCCAGTGGTTGCAGGACAGCTTGCTGACAAAACAACGCATCACAGCCTCAAGTACTGTGACTGTCCTGATACCCTTGAATGGTCTTCAGCAATGAGTCTCTGTGAGGGGTTACGATTATCAACACATTGCAGGGCAACACGTGAATAGAAACCATGTCCTTACACCTTCGCCTAGAAAGCTAGGAGGAAGGGAATTCCCCTGCAGCCCACTCCTTGAGAGAAGCAACGCTAAGATCAAATTCTACACTGACAGATGCAAGCTCTGCTGTATCACTGCAACTGTCATGAAATCGCAAGTCACAGGGATAGAGAATTAAAAACAAACTTACAGATTCATTCATTCCATGCCAGTTACATTTTATTTACAGGAATTCCATTTTATAAAGGATTACCCCCTCTAACAAATAAATCTATTTGCGCATTGAGCATGTTCCATTTTATGCTATGTGAAGTGCCATTTAACTACACGGATAAGAAATTTTCAAGCTTGTTTAGGTTCAGGTTTAGACAGATTTTACTATATATTGTAAATCTTGAAAAGCCCTATCTTATAGCACACAACCCTGAAGGAAGTGCAGTGTCTGCCAGCAAATATGAACATGCTATGACCAAGAGTATTTGCTTATACAAGTAAAATGACCGAAGATAAATGCCAGAAAACCACGAGTCGGAACTATTCCTAGGACAAGATGCTGCGTTGACAATGGAAGAGATGTGTTGTCAATGAGTCTAAAGCTGGCTTTACACTTGCAAGAAAATGGCGAGCAATATTATTTCGCAAGAAAAGTTGCCAATGTAAACATTGCAGCAATAAATATTTCTGATGTTGGCAATATTTCTTGCTAGATATTCCGGTCGTAATGTAAACTTATGTGCTTCCATTCTCGAAAAGATATTGCCAGCTGTTGCTGGGGCTAGAATTGGATTGAAGTCTGAGCAAGATATTGCTGAAAGAAGCCAATGATGACAGTCTCATACGCAGGAAGTACATACGGTTGTACATAGACGTAATAGTTCCATTTTAATATGCATTTTTTCGCATGGTGTGTGAAGGATTACGGCACTAAAAGTAGTAATAAATATTCCCTCTATGGTTGATTTTCAAAGGTTCAAATTTTGATTCAGCCAAAGATGCTCTCCCGATTATTAATTTTTTACTTTAAAAATTATCGAGATATTAATCTAATCTAAATCAATTTTAAGATTACTCTATAATATATCAGTTGTAGGAAATGGATATTTTATAACTTTTTGCCGAATTAGTAATTGCACTTTTTATTAAAAGAAAGTTACTTTGCTCCCACGGAATCGAAATCATTTTGTTTTATGAAAAATATTCAGACACTTCTACCTAATTCGCACAAGCCCCCTTTTCCTTTCTTCTTAAAATTCAGTCACACGTCCTCAATTCGTCAGCGTTACTTCACCTCATTTAGCACAATAAGTGCGACCACAACTCTTATTTTGTGCCTTCCACTAGTTATCTGTCGGGAAGTGAGTGAGGTATAACCTCACTTCATTTCATGCGCCATTTCCCTCGCGCCGTCACGAAACACGGCAACAGATAGTCCTAATGTAAAGCGATCGGCAATATTTTGCCAGAAAGATCTTGTTCAGATCTTTCTGGCAATATATTGCCCCTCCTTGCTCTTGCTAGTGTAAAGATGACCACAAGAAGCAGAAACAAATTGCTCAAAGATATTGCAGAAACGTAATGCTAATGTAAGGCCAGCATTAGTCAGCAAACATTTGTTGAGATCCCTGAAGGACAAGGCAGGTCTGGATTTTGATCTCTCCTCCCTTGCAATTTTTGCACAGCTGCCTTTGGCAAGTCATTAGCTGTTACAATGTTACCTAATTGAAACCTTGCAAGTCACAATCCTGGTGGAGTTCAACCTTCTGATTGAATTACACCGTAACAGCCGATTTACATCAGATGCAGCATTGAATAAATCCAAGTATAAGTCACGTGTTATTTTACATTAACATAAGTAGTCACAAAATAAAGGTTTCAGTCATATCACCAAAAAATATTCTTCACAATTTGAAACGCACCCAAAATACAACTTTTGAGAATATTTTTGCAAAGTATCTGTAAGTACCTCTAGTATTAAGTTGGTTTCTACAAGCTCGTGGACTTTGCCCTACTTGATGGTATGTTTTTACTTTACTACAGAGATTTGAATATTTAACATTTAGTCTATTTTTTGTACTTTCATTTGATAATTTACTTCAGCTCTATATGTAAACATACCATAATCTCAGGGACTTATTTGGGGGAAAAAATCACGATACAGAAACAAAGTCGCAATTTATGTAAGTCTTTATTACGATTAATGTCAACAATGTATAGAATGTTCTAGACCTTCCATACATTATTTCAACCTACCTGCATCTTCCAAGACCACCAGACCTAGAACATAATTTAACGAATCCTACCGAAAACAATGGTCAAGGTTTCCAAGCCTAAGCGGCCAAAGTATCATGTAATGAATGAAGTTTAAAAGAATATGATCTACTCCCACCATTTTCACACGAGCCATGTGACCACCACAGGGACCGAGGGCAATTCGAGGAAGGTAGAGGATTTCATGGTAATTCACCCACAGCAACACCTACGTGGCTTCAAAGCTTAACTTTTGCCTTTGTATTCCTACTTCGCATTCATCATAAATTTTAAGCAATTTCCCTACGAAGCATACCATGATAAATTGCCAAATGGAAATGCATTAGCCACATCAAAAATATTGGCATGTGCATTCTCAACCCACCCATAACTAGTAAACTAAACAAAAACCAGTCAACCACCCACAAAAACTTACATTGGCAGATCTTCTTTCAGATGCCTCATTTCTGCTTCTAACCTTATGTTCCCTTTCAAGATGTTGCTTCTTTACTTCTTGACTATTGCTATTTGCTATTCATGTCTTCCCAATTGCTATAAAGACAATTAAGAGGGTGATCTTGCAACTGAATTTTGCTTCGCTTTTGCTTCGGTTTTCTATCGGCATTTTTCAGATCATATTCTTTGTCATTAGAGCTTCGAGTAGACGGACTTGCTTGATCTGTTCATGTTTTCTTGCCCCAATACTGGCTACCCACTTATTCACAACTTCAAACTTCATCCAATACCTCTTCCATCAAAACCTTACAAAATAAAACAAACAAGACATGTTAGAACATGTTATGAATTTGTTTTCCTATTGTGCTGTTTTATTCTAAGGGTACAATTAGAGCAAAACACTTACATATATAGTTTTAATATAAAGTACACAACACAAAACTGTGGTTTTAAGTCTACTTTCTTAACATTAAGTCCTTTTATACTAACAGCTGACACTGAAGCTGTCACACTTAAGTTAGACATAAAACCACCTTCAACTGAAATTCATGTTAAAAACCTGGACAACATATCCACTGAACTTGGGTGACGTGTGTCACTGATTAACATAACTACAATATGATCAGGACAAAATAGTAATTTTGACTATCTTAACTTAGTTCTGTCCAAAATCTTCACATGCAACCTGTCAACTAACTTCTGTATAAAGAGCTGGCACTTAACATATTTAAAGAAAACAAGTCATTAAGGAGAATCACTCCCACAAAAAGTCTGCCAGCTTCCACGAAAGGGAACACAATGAATAGAAGATTTATCCACAAGTGGAAATGTAGCCCCAGCCTGCTCCTAGATGGTTTTAATACCGACCTGGAATGACATCGTACAAAGAACAATATAAACACCATGTCCCAATTGAACAAGATATTATCTTTACAGAAAGGGCATTAGGTAGTGAACAAGTTCAAGTAGTTCAATGACATTATACAACTACTTTCACAGTTACAATTTAACTTTTACATTAAAAATTGCTACTGTAACATTTTGATCAAACATGTAATGAACTACATGAATGTATTACCTTACCCAATGCTTGATAAGTTCTCCAAAACAATTTAACACGAAACTGTGAAAACAAGTAAATTTATTGATTTCAATTAAAGGATTCCCACTTACGAGGCGAGTATGACCGAGAACGCGATCTTTCATAACGTCGTCGCCTGTAGTATGGTGATGGTGAACGTTCCCGATAGCCTCCACCTCCACGATATCCTCCATAGTAGTTGCTGAAAGAATAGCTTCAATTAATAGGCATGTTGGTTTAACATTTACACACATTTGATGTAATGTAAATTTAGATCTGGAGGTTTCCATTTCTAAGAATTCCTCAAATTTAGTTTTTTCCCTTGAAGTAACAAAATTTATCATACTAAACCCATGAAGAAAGCTTGCTCTTAAAATATTTCTACAAATTTACTTTTTTGAGACTTAATACACACTCCAACTTTGCAGATACACAAAATCAGAAGAGATTCCTTCTTTTCCAACTTTAAATAGCTTTCTACCAACATTTTTTTCCAACATTGCCCCTTTATGTTATGTCAATGCTTTAAGCTGAATCATGCCCAGAAAAAAAGTTCTATATGCCTTTCAAACAACCATTCTACACTACGCAAGTACTATAAACTTACTGAGCCAATGTGCCACAAACCATACTACCAGCAATTTTCAATGCATCTACACCTGCATGGACCATAAGAGCCCATTTGGATCAGAGTTTATACCCAGCATCCTTCAATATAAAATATGAAATATATAAGCAACTCACTTTTCACCCTTCTGCCTACCCCACTGGCTTCTGCCATCAGTCAGACTGAAACAAACACGGGCAGATTTGTACTACACACCATTGCACTTAACGAACATCAATTTTGGCATCTAAATTCCCAACAACCTTTGAATCCTTCAGAATTCTAGAAACCCCTTGTTAACTGAGTTGCTTTCAAATTTCACAAGATAACCGGATAAATTCATACGTTACAACCCAAAAGCTTTTCATACCACTAGAAAGCTTTTAAGACTACTATAATTAGGAATTTTGTCACAAAAATTAACCCCAAACCTTCCCTACCAATGTTTACAAAAACATTATGTCCGCCATGTGGACAAATGTCCATTTCATCATCACATCAATAAAGCATTATAAAAGATTTTAGTGACCTGTGGAGCTACTGTAAGCAGAGAATATCAAACAATCACAGAAATTAGTAGACAAGACTAGGAACTAATAAGAACCCACTTTGGGATTTTAAATTTATTCCAAATTTAATTTTATTACAGAATATGAAACTTTTAATCAAGGTTATTTCTGCCAAAATCTTATGAAATGTTAGTAAATTTTAGGAAATGAAAGGAAAACATCACAAAAGACATGACAACCCAAGAGTTATAGAATTGAGTTAAGTTTCATAACAAAATGACCATCACTAACCTAGAAAAGAGGGAAAGAGAAAAACTTGAAATTTTTAACATGGACATAAGTACAATTATAATGAAATAATATTGATATAAAGGAGTCTTTCGGATTTCAATTCAGATCAAAACGGTTGATCACCTCTTAAAGGTGGGGCTTTTAAGTAAACTTTTTTCAATTTAGAAGCATTTTGATTAAGTCCAGTTAATTTTTGAAATGCCTTGGTGAATCAACTATTGAAATGGTAAACCAATGTAAAATTAAGTCATCAATATTCAAAGTCCTCTCTCCCAATGCAGAAACCATTTTTTAAACACTAGATGACAGAAGAATAAATATTACCTGCAGCAAATGGCACATAATGAAAGACCAAATTCTCTATGTAGTTTCACGAATTTTGAATAATCAAGAGCAAATGTAGCTAACCAGGAACCACATGCAACAAATCCACATATACAGAACCTCTCTGGACAAAGACAGAACTAGCAAAACCAATTTAAAAGTTTGAAACCATCCCACTTATCTCACCAAATTTCATGAACTAGGCATTTTTAACTGTTAATTAGTTGTTAATGCTGACTAATTATCTTCTGCACATAGGTCTGATTTAATTTTATTACATTCTCAGCTTCATTCATAAACAATTTTAGATTACAATTTTCTGAAGCATAATATGTATTTTACATAATTTTGAAGGTTTTGATGCTACTAATTAATGGAACCTCCAAATCAATTATCTAAGAAAAGGTATTCACTACTCACTAAGTAGGTTTCCCCATATATATTCCAGGGGTTGGTGTATGTGCCCGTTGAGTAATTGAGAAATCCACACGAATCCTCCGTCCATCTATTTCCATACCAGTACATTGCTCCTTTGCCACTTTGGCATCCTCAGCATTTTCGAAGTACACAAAAGAGAATCCTCTTGAACGTCCAGTCTGAAAACAGGAAATTATATTCAATAAAAACTGAACTAATTGTGCAACAGAAAAGCACAGACATTCTTGTTTCCTATTCTGTGGTGTCTGGGCTAGCTACTCAAGTTTTGCCCCACCCTCTCCCCAGCTGCCATGAGGCACCTCTGACATTTCTTTACATTTTCCTTGATAGAATTCTAATATGAGAACATTACACACAAAACACTTCTTCCTACAATTGATATTGTACAAATAGTTTAGACACTATGGTTCACAGAGATGGGAAGTTATGACGGAAACCGCTTTGTTTATCAGTTTACTCCAAAACCTGTATTTCAATTGAAATCTCAGGCTATATTTTTTAAAACATTAATTTTCTCTAACCTACGTATTATTACTCTGTATGTACATATAAGAAAAAGTAAAATGGAAGACATTTTCACACTAAGATGCATCAAATCCTTAAAGCACACTTTTCATAGAACTTTAGGGTGCATTCTTTTAACCTATATAAATAATAAAGGTTAGTACCTCTAGTTTTAAAAAATTGTAAGATAATACAACATCCTTAGCAGGATAGCAATTTCAATTGCAGCATCTTTCAAACTTTATAAATTTTTTAGTCAATGCTTTTAGGCCAGTGAAAGAATAAAAACAGGAAAAAATCCAAAGAAAATCTCAGAATTATTAAAGCGGAATTGCATCCATTCCATACAGGAGAGTTCTGATATTCAAGAACCTTGCAAGTAACACCAAAATATAAGTTTGACATTAGGATTTACCTTGGCATCTATGACAACTTGAACCCTTTCCACCGGTCCATACTTTGACATTATGTGATGAAGTTGCTGTTCAGTTGTGTAGATGCTGAGTCCAAATATCCCCAAACATCTGCTTGGCTGCGGATTTTCCTAGAAAAATATAGAGATTATTCTTTTTCAAATATTAAGAACATAGGGAATTCATGGGGATTCCAGTAATTCTCATGAAAGAATGAATGACAGGCCTGATAAGGTTTAGCACACTGACATTATGTGCAGGACTATTCTGTTATCTAGTAGGATCTACTGCATTTATATACCTCAACAAACTTTAAGCATTTTCCAATTTCATGATACTGATTTCTGACATTTGATCAGCTAGGATTGAAGTTTGAATACAAAAAATTAAGTCTTAATGAAACTCCTGTTTGGATAACCACACCTATCTGAACTAGTATCAGAAGTCACTATAAATTCAAGTGTAACAAATTACTTGCCCATGAAACCCTGAATAACATGAGAGAGAATAACATATGAGAGGTACAGAGGAAACAAGATGTTGCAAAAATTGCAAACAAATGTAGTGAGGCTTACAACCTGCTTTCAAGCAATGAAGATCTGAATTCAGAAATGCCTGGAATTTCAAATTTATTTAACATGAAATTCAAATACCAACAATAATTCATGCAACATGAGCAACACCATTCCCTTTTATAATTTATCTGAAAAGTTTGTAGTCCAGGTTTTACTTTATGATTCAAACCTATACTTTAATCTATATGTAAGGTCTGTTAACCTAAATAAGCTGATAGTGTCAACCAATAGGGAGCTCTGATGACCCCTACCACAGTGACGTTTCAATTCCTGATTGGATGACACTGCAACAACGTCAGACTAAATCCAAGAATATATATATATATATATATATATATATATAGACACACACACACAAAATATGTATAGAGGTGTGATTTGGTAATAAATTATATGAATAATATGCTCCTGTATTTTCATAACCTACATAAGATCCAATGAACGCAGAAAAACTTTTATTGACCTCTTAAAATCACTCCTTTCAGAAAATTAAAGTACACAAGAAAACTTGATCCAAGGTCTTGATAACTCATATTTACAACTATAAAAAAAAATTATAGTCATAACTTCAGTGTGGAGACCAACTGAATTAATTTTAAAAAACTTCAATATCACTGATTTCTTTCCAACTAAACTATAAAATTATTCAAGAAAAGTTCTGACTGTCTCAATATTTACTTTTCAGAGATTTAAGCATACTCAGTATGAATTTAGTAGAAAGGATCGTACCGTGTTATAATAAGTAAAACATTGAATAATCTTGAATTAACATTTTGAACTTTCACTGTTCTTGAACCAAGCTTCAGTTGGGGCAAAAACAAACTAACACAACATCTATAAAAATTCTTTAACACTAGAATGCCTTTCAAACAACCATTCTACACTACGCAAGTACTATACCCCCCCCCCCCAAAACACACAGCAAGTCATTCTGACTACCTTGAATACTGCTCCTTAAAAGGAATTGTAAAAATATTTATCTACAACATTACATTATTAAAAATAATTGTTTGAAGTATATTATTATGCACAAGTATATTAATATTTATTTAGAACATTTATTGTCATTACTGCTCCATGGTGTGTAAGTTAAAGACACGTGTAGAACAGAATGCACAAATAATCAGGCAAAAGCTTTGTTGAAAAGTAAATTTTAATATAGTAACAATATTGTTTATAACAAAAATGTAATAACATTAACACATGTGACCCAAAAATATATTTCCTTGCAATGCACTTCCCATGCTATCTCACAACATTCATTTGAACACAAATCCATTTGAAAACACATATCACATATCAACATATCCACATATCAACACAAATTCATTTGAAAAATGTTATGTTTCACATCAATAGGAACTTTTAAGCGAGACGACAAAGTTCAAAAAAACAATTTAATCCCATGTTTCAGAGCAGTAGTTCTTGTCCAGGTTTCATTGTATTTACTTCCCACATTCCTGACCTTGCTAGGCATAAACAGTATAAATTTGTGTATGACGATCTTTAACGACATTTACAGACTACATTTTGAGACTTATAGAATACTACATACATCCTAACACCTGCTTCGTATCCTTATGCATGGTTCAATGCCACATTTTCCAGGTGTTCTAGTCTTTCATAAAAGATTCACAATTTTTTAAACGTATGCAAAATAAAAATTTGGGACATCACTAAAATGCTGTAAAACTATTGTTAGCTGCTTTTGACCAGTTTTCATGCCATAAAGTATAAAAACTGACTTTGGAAGATAAACGCTGGCATACCAACTCTTTGTTCTGACAGTATTGGTAGTTTGTAAAGTTATCACTTCATACTGAAATAAAATAATTTTTCAGACTGAAGCAGTGAAATCTTCATTAGCCTTAAGATTTCTTTCCAAAACTCATTTTGAAAATAACGAAAAAGCCCATGACTAAAAAACTAAAAATATCTGACTACACCATTACCATCTGGGCTTGGTGTAAGATCACTAACCTGAACAATTTAAACACTTACCTTCAAACCTATTTCATACTTTCGCATACGGATTCTTATGATAGCATTTGTAACAGTAACTTCCATGTTCCTGATAACATGACTTTAATAAAATCTTCAGGAAAGAAGAAATTATAGCTTAAAACACCAAGTTCTAGCAAACACTCCTTTAGTTCACGATAAAAGTTAACCAAATAAACAAGAACTTAAATACAAGAGGAAAATTCACATAACTTACTCTACTTCCTATGTGGCGGCGTCTAGAAGACATAGGGCTTCGAGAATGACTGCGATAGAATTCTCGACGTCTGTCACTGTAGCCATAGTACTTTCCTCTTGGACTGTAGGATCTGGAGCGAGAATGAGAGTATCTAGACTTGTATCTTCTGGGAGTGCGGGAACGGGAACGAGATCGGTAACGACCACGGTACGACATTTTACGAGACCGTGAGTGACTCCTGCAAAGAAAAATTAATCGAGGATAATTCCATGTCAAATACAGATGACAAGTTATTAAATACACTCTGGGGTCAGTTCTTCACTGGGGCCTGAAATGAAACTAACAAAAATAGAACCTTGCAAGTCTTAGGGGTCCTCCATCTCCATAAATTACATAAAGGTCAATAGGGTGGGAAGGTGTCTTAAGCAGCTTAACACAGGGGGAGGGATTATTACTTTGGTATCATTGATATTTATTGTTTGAAATAATACTTCAATTCCTGTACTAAAAAAAAATTATTAGATGTTACAATGGAACCTTTTTTAAATTCTAAGATTATGAAGAAAATATTCAGAACCGATATGAAGTACATTCTAGAAGCCTGTTGGTACTGTATACTCTCGTTCTTGCATCATCCACAACAGCACGTGCATAACTTGTGACCACCCATTTTCACCCAAGCAGTCTTCCCTAACTCAACTTTGTCCCCAATATTTTTGTTAGGTGCAGCCAACATAAACTAATTTCTAATATTTTTTCCACAGCTAAAAATGATCAAGCTCTTCAGTATGTAGTTAACTTCAGTCACTCGATAACTTTATTATTCAACATAAAAATGGAGATTCAACAGTTTCGGTACATTGTTTCAAATAGTGATGCAATTTCAATTTTTATGGTTTGATGTAGCAAAAAGTTCTTGGAGCCCTATCACTATGTTCCATATTGCACCTATTTACTATACATATTTTCCAAGATATTATGAACAAAAGAACTAAACAATGTTCCAGTAATATTTTTCAAGAATGCAGGAATGTGTTATTTGGGTGAACAAAATAATCATCCACGATCTTGAAATCAATATAGCAAGGCCACAATTCACTTACAATCCTCATTCGAAACAAGTTTAGACATCAATAAACTAGTGTATCAATTACACTAACAAGGAAATTTAACACTAATCTCATTAACTGCTACATGACGGCCAAGTCTTGAGTCTTGCATAAAGCTTCGTTGTGGGCCCCATTGTGAACAGAGCTTGCTCACAGATCCCACACATGACAGCTACCAGTTAAGTCCTAGTGAAAGCTGAAAGTGCATGCACATGAATTAATCCGTCCTGAAGCTCTCAGGATATTGTGATTCTACGTATGATCTCACCCAGAGGCTCCCAGTGACAACCTGACAGTAATAACATGTCCAGAGGCATCCATGCATGAAAATAATTTGCTTATTAACTCTCCTAGAGCAGCCAAAGGGATAAATTCTCAACTAAATGGCTGATTTGACTTGACATCTACACAAGCCCTGAAATTTCAATATTACAATTCATTAATCTAGTTGACAATCTCCTAGATAAAATTTGGAGCATACGTATTGCATATCGATACTCTCAAGTTAGAATTTGGCTGTGCAGTATTCTGGGCATTTAATAACACTGGTCAACAAATTTAATTGTCTTAAATGGAAGTTTCTCTTATGGAATGAGCTAATTTCAAATTTCCAGAGCATTTATATGTAACAGGCAAGGTTTCTTTAAAATAGAGACTGCTTATGATCATCTCAATAAAAATATAGCTAACATAGTTTAATGATTGTTTACTGTATTTTGTTTGAGAGATTCCTTTTAAGTGTTCAGAAAGTCTAAGCATAATTCAATTCCATTTTTCTCTGATAACGTTTTTCTATTGTAATGTCTTTGTGGAGTCGCTCACAGCGCAGATTGTCAGGAAAGAAGGTAAGTGTGAATTTAGAAAATGTATTTTAAGGGACAGGATACAAATGAGAGCTTTATAATCGTGAAGGAGTTTGGTCCTTTATAGATCTTAGCTCTTTTATTAGCAAAGAATTTGGTTATTGTTTGCAGTGATGTCCATGCAACCTTTTCAATACAATTTAAGCATGCCTCGATTATGATTGATGAAGTTCTTGTGTGTGGCCTCTCAATTATAGTAAATTAATTTTGTAAAAGAATGTAATACCTATGTGTGTGTGTGTGTATATATACACTAATACAACTAGACACGAAGTTTGATAAAATGACTATCGTGACAATTTTGTAGCTTAATAGCAATCTGTTAGTTTTACTTCCAGAGTGGTTTTAATACATTTTCATTTTCCTCTCTTTGAGGCCTATAGCATCACTGGCTCCCCACTTTTGGCATCCATCTATCAAGATACCTGCAAGTCTGCATAACGAAGTCACTGTTGTGCCAGTGAAGAGTTTTGTACTTTTTTCATTGACGCTTAGAATTTCACTCTTCAGAAATCTCATCTTATGTTTTTGTATGGACTCGTATCCCTTACTAGGGACAGACATTTTCTGAACACGAAATACCCTACTCATGTTCTCTCCCACCTTCTAATGAATACACAAGTTTGAACAAAATGTTCTAAAATTTTACAATAATTCCTTAATGGTGTGATTTTTTTTGGCTGCCTTTGTTTTTTACCCCCTTACATTAGCCAGAATAAATGCTTTTTTGGCATGCCTATTTTAGGCCAAATAAATGACTTGACAATGAATTTTAAGAGAGACAATTTATTGTTCTGGGTTGTGAATTGAGTTATTCAATAATTAATGGTGAGCTTATTATAAGATGTAACTCAAATTATTTTATCACAATTTTTTTATTATTAGGAGTGGATTTGTATGACTAAAACAATGCCAAAAACTGATTTTTTTAAAAATCAAAACCACTTCAGATGACCAAATCAAGCTGTTGGTATGTCACTGATAAAATTGAGGCTTCTTTCTTTTTTCAAGCGAACTCAGCTTGCAAACCTTCGGTTTGGACTTTTTTTAAAAGAAAAATCTCTTCTGCAATGATTGCAAAATTGCCCGAACTGACAACAGCACTGATAGGCATCACAGGAACCTTAGGTTACATAATACTCACCAAGGTTGACATTACAAGATATGAGCTAAGAAATCCAATGGACTACTCAGGAATTCTGTGGTGAACATTTGTTGCTTGTCATAAATAGTTTGAAACTAAGTACCATTATAATCTCAAAGTCTATGAAATGTGTGAAAAATGCATTAAAAATTATGTAAGGTTAAAAAAATGACAGTCAGAATCTATGAAAAACAGAATGACACAAGTGGGTCATCCATTTTGTTATAAAATGAATTTCTATACTAACAGGTATTGTTCTGAAGTGGAGGGAGGGAAGATGAACGAACAAACAAACCATGCATTTCATTAATATCCACCCACTAATTATTATTGTAAATTCAAAATCCAGTTGTACTATCTTTTTGTTATTTTAAGTGCATGTTTATGTATTAGTTTTTACTTGATGGGCAACTATGTGACCTGAAAAGTGAAGTGAAGTGTTGACAATTTTAAGGTTGACAATCATAAGTCCAATATGTTGAAGGGGTCAAAATGGAAAATAATAAAACAGACTCCTAAAACACAAAACAGAGCAGAGCAACTTTTGTGGTGGTATTTGACTTCAGGGTAGCAAACACATAAGAAATAGCTACAGTTAGTCATTTAACCAAATCAATGTTGACCAGTGCAAATTGCTTTCATTATTAACATGGGATTGCATATTTGTAACGGGTAAATTTAAAATGACAGGCGAAATGTTAATGCAAAAGTAGAATAATTATTTTGCTTCTTGAGATTAGCGATTTTAAAATATACAAGATTAATTTATTAAATAAAAGTATTACTTGGTAATGGCCAGTGAAATTTTAAATCCATATTGAACATCACTTTACACAGTAACAGAGGGTGGCCACTCCTGTCCTGAAACTAACATGGTTTTCCTGACCAGTTTTTAATATTTCACAGAAAAGAGTTTTGTATTTCACGCTAAACATCAAAGCAAGCCTGAAACTAATTTATCAGCTCTAATTTCACTGGATGACAAATTAAAAACCTAATAAGTAGAAATTGAGCAACAAATGTTGAACAATTTTTAGAAACGATATCTAGTTATATAATCTCAAACTTTTCCCGGACTTCAAACTATTCATACACTTCCACAAACTCCCTGAATTTTTCTGTTTTCCAGAAAGTGGCAAACCCTGAACTGACTAACCAACTAAATCAATTTCTTAAAACTTTTGGTCACTAATTAATGGCACCAGTATCTCACCATGTTTTCAATGGGTTCCATCAATAACTTACCAATATACTCATCATGCAATAGCCCAGTACTGCAGTCCAGAAAGGAGAGGTAAATTAATTGTTACATGTTTTGAAGTTTTTTACATTTACATTCCCATTTTTCATAAGACTAGCATTTTTTTGTTTCCTTCTTGCACATCTTATATTGCGATTAACGCTATTCTGCCCTGACAGGTATCAGCTTCTGAGAGTGATGTCACTATGGTGACATTCAAGCTCCATATTAGATGAAACCCAACAGCCGATACCTTCTAGAGGCAGAATTGCATAAATTGCAATATTGCCATTGTTTTAAGTGCATCAAAGGTTCATAAAATACCCTTTAAAAAGCATCCTCCAACAAAATGACCAAATGTTCACTATGATGGGCAGCATTCTTGCCAACTGTACAAGCAAAAGAATTCAGAGTTTCCAATTGTTTAAATAATGACAATTATTGAAATTGTTTATAATGTACCAGGAATAGGCAAATATCAGATAACCATAGCATCAACAAGGCTGAACAGTCATTCAATGACTTACACAAAATATCCACAAAAAAACTCAAATTCTTTCATTTTTCTGCCTAAAGGAAGCCTGTACAATACAAAGTGATCCTAAAATGTTAATTGGATACCATCTTGTTTCTTTGAAGCTAAAATGGATTCTTATCATAGAATACAGTACATCACTGCCTGAACTCCAGGGTTGCAGAGGTCAATTAAAAAAAAAAAGTAATAAGGTAAATGTAAAATAAACAAGAGTTAGTAGACCATGAAAACTATTCCCTAAATACAATAAAGCTTATCCTTTTGATTTTGGTTCTTTAAAAAGCTTTTTGCCCAACTTTCAATATTACTAAATTTCATATAATGTACTCAAACACACACAAATTACAACACTACTAACTTCCTGCACAGGTTGGGGAATTTCACACAATCATGATTTTAAGGAGTAACATAGCCTGAAAGGTTAATTTTACAAAGAATCGATAGTCTATCTTGTGTAACCTTTAAACAAAATAATTGACCTTAATGCATGGAAGTCAGTCTTAATAGTTGTTGGCTTGAGAAGAGTAATCACAAATTAAATAAAATTTTTTAATGTAATGTCCAATAGTTAAGCAGATTTCTTTGGTTCAGTCCACTACAAATCCATACAGCTAACCTACAATGAATGGATGGGATTAAAATTAAATTAACAGGAAACAAAAATTTCAGTCCTATTCAGTCACAATTATTTCTACAGTCAAGGTGAATTGCTATGCAGTTCAGTATGAGACAAGATTGTAGCCTTTGCCACTGCCATTGACAAAACCTTAATAGTAGCCAATACAAGATTACCAACATTTTGGGTTCAACATTCCTCTATGTCAAGAAATACCTGTGCCACAGCACCACAGAAATTGCCACACTGAATTAACATAAAATTCTGCTCAGGAACAAGTTCAATTGTTCTCAAATGCAAAGACCCCCAAAACCATGCTTTAGAATGTTCTTACTTTCTACAATATGCTACAGCTTCATTAAAATAATTCAAGACATACTGTGAATTTTAATGGATTAACAGTTTCAAATGCATCACATCTAGGAGCAGTTAAGATTTAAGTCTTTCACAAATTGAAAAACAAGTTTGTAAAGAATTTTCCTTCCAAGGCTGAAATCAAAGAACACTTCTAACCATTCTACATGAACTACGCTAACTTAATGTCCACAATTTCACTGTATTAAGCAGGTTTCACGAAATGTATTCTTAGAAGTCTCATTACTAGTTACTATTTGATTCCCTCATTTGTAATTTTACAAAGCTCGTCAATTAACGCGAATTACTGTCATTCTGGCGACGAACCTAATTTGGAACAAATACAACCAGAATATTCACGTCAAATTTGTACTGCAAAATTGAACTTACCGGGAACGTGAATACGACCTTCCTTTGTGATGGGCTGTACGTGGGCTATTGGACCTTGTACGGCTTCTAGTGTGCTCTCTTGAACGCGGAGGCGTAGGCGTCTTCTCATTAGTCGGAGGACTGTGATTTGATCCACTATGGCTTGAGCTACGCTGTAAAACAGAAATGGTGGATGATTCGGGAAAAAAACACCCTTCAAGTTCCACCCACATTACATGCTAGTATCAACAAGCTTCTCTAATGAAATATCTGACGCGGTTACGCAACTTTAAAAGAGACAACAAATGGGCAGTCGAATATTTAAACAACGTAAGATACAACAAAAAACGATCGCCGGCAACCATTTCCAAACAACGCTCTTTCTTATTGATCGCGTGCTAGATTACGAAGAACAGGATATAGTTAAACGGACGTTGAAATGCAAGCGCAATTAAGATTTTTATGTTCCCTAGCGCCCAAATAACTTACCTCTCTGTCACTCATGCCTCGAAAGGTTGAAACCAAACCGAAAACCTTTTACTCGGCTCATATAACTCTCTTTACTTACAATGGCGTCTCCTCAATCGGATTGAACAAGAAGACGGCCACTTCCACCACCAGTCGACCACCGCCAACCCTTTCCACAGACGCTACAAAACGGAAGCAGAAAGAGTCTCTATCACAAACGTATAACCTGATTGGTTGAAAGGTAAAATTGCAATTTATAAGCTGTTCTACGATTGGTGCAAAACTGAAGAACATCCAAGTGACCAATCGCAACTGTATCCTTGAACAAAACTGCTTTCCCGGTTTTTCGACTGATGTCATCCCAGGTACGTTTTACAAAAAAAATATTAATAGAGGACAAGGTCATAAATAGTAAAAAGTTTCCAAGGATAAAGTTTATAATTGAATTCTATATATGAAATATAACAATATTTTAAGGAAGTGTGTCTGCTTGTTTATTCAATGTCCAAAGAGCATTTAGCTCACCATTTTAACATACGAGGAAGAAAACATGTACAATTTCTTTGAATAATATAGAACAGTCGATTGATGTTGATGACGGAGCGATTCTGGTGAACATGGCGGGCGCTGTGTTGTTTGAGCGGGCGCAGGCTGTGTCAAGTACTAATAGAGAAGAAGGTATTTTCTTACTCAATAAGATCGTCCAGGAGCAAGAAATCGCTGAAAATGACGAAGATACGATTCGACTTAAAGAACAGGGCATTCTGCAACTTGGGGAGTTGTACAAGAAAGAAGGTAAGGCAAAGGAACTGGCCGAGTTAATCAAAGCTACCCGACCTTTTCTGAGTCTCATAAGCAAGGCAAAAGCCGCGAAATTAGTGCGGTCGTTGGTGGATTTCTTTCTGGACTTGGAAGCTGGTATTGGTACTGAAGTGCAGTTATGCAAGGAGTGTATTGAATGGGCTAAGGAGGAGAGGAGAACCTTTTTGCGTCAATCGCTAGAAGCTCGTTTGATTGCATTATATTTTGACACTGGCATGTTTACTGAAGCTTTAGCCCTAGGTTCTACACTTCTTAAAGAATTAAAGAAGTTAGATGACAAAAATCTATTGGTAGAAGTACAGCTTTTGGAAAGTAAGACTTATCATGCTCTAAGTAACCTTCCAAAAGCTCGAGCAGCTTTAACATCTGCCCGGACTACAGCAAACGCTATATACTGCCCTCCTAAACTACAGGCAGCTTTAGATTTGCAGTCTGGTATTCTCCATGCTGCAGATGAACGTGATTTCAAAACTGCTTATTCATACTTTTATGAAGCATTTGAAGGCTATGATAGTGTGGAAAGTCCCAAAGCTCTCACAGCTCTGAAGTATATGCTGTTGTCAAAAATTATGCTTAATACTCCAGAAGATGTCCAGCAGATTATTAGTGGTAAACTAGCTTTGAAATATGCGGGTAAAGACATAGAAGCAATGAAATCTGTAGCACAAGCTAGTCACAAGAGATCTTTGGCTGATTTTCAAAAAGCTGTAAAAACTTATAAAAAGGAATTGGAAGAGGATGCAATTGTAAGAGCTCATCTGGGCACCTTGTATGATAATATGTTAGAGCAAAATCTATGTCGCATTATTGAACCATATTCAAGAGTTCAAGTGGATTACATTTCCCATTCAATAAAGCTGCCAACTCATCAAGTTGAGAAGAAACTCTCACAAATGATATTAGATAAAAAATTTCATGGAATTCTGGATCAAGGAGAAGGTGTTTTAATTGTGTTTGAAGAAGCTCCCGTGGACAAAACCTACGAAACTGCTCTAGAAACTATACACAGTATGGGAAAAGTTGTAGATACTTTGTATCAAAAAGCAAAAAAGCTATCTTAATAAGTGTGTAACAGAACTTTAAATGTCCAGCTGTAACTTGTTAAATTCTGTGCATGGAAGCAAGTCTGAAAGGTGTAACAAGTTGCTTAAGGAACTGGTGCCCATACCATGTGAATTATATTTGTGGATTCAATGACATTGTTAATTGTACAAATAACCGCCTCTTGCTACATACTAAATCTAATTGCTAAGTTTTCCAGTTTGGGAAGTGGGAGTGGCCTTTGAATGATTTCTTCAAAATTGTGCATTTAATATTTTGTATACTTTAATTGTATTATTTAATGACTGGAAGAGGTTTTTGTGGAAGTTCTGCTGGACACTAATGTAAATAAAATGTGTGTTGGATTTAGTGTAAAATAAAATACCTCATGAATCACTTTGCAAGTTACATGAACTGGAATTCTGTTAACACAGGAAAATGGATGACTTGCATGTGTAGCATAGTTAACCTCCACTTACTTTTTTGACATAGGACAGTGAATTTACTTTGTACTTGTTGGATTGAGCAGAAAAAATAAACAAAAAATAATGCAGCAGTCTTTTTTTTTATTCAACATCCTTTTAATTCCTTTTCAAACTGAATTGTTTTCACAATTTCATTTTTTCCTCTGTTTTGGCTGAAAAGTGGCTGGAATTTGTTTTGTTGCAAGTTGCTTAGGTGTAATGAGATTAGTATCAATTGGTGTCCATTGTGGTATGTTGTCTTTGTTTATAAGACTTGGATTCACAGACTCGTAGTCAGAATGCAAATTGTAGTCAAAATTCCTGAAATTTAAAATAATGTTAAATAGGAGGAAATTAAAGTGAAAGCAGTAATTAAAAGAGAATCAAATGTACATATCACTACTGCAAAAAGACAATTGTAATAGCACAATTCAAGATAATATACCTTACATACTAATTCTGTGATGTTGATAGGAGTGATTTTCAATACCTGTCTGTATGCTCAAATATGGTGATAAATGGTCCATTTTGAAGATTGTGTGACAATAAAAACTGCCCAGGTTGTAAAGTCACAAGTTCTTTCATAACTTGGTACAGTGAACCAAGCACAGTTCTTCGAATTTTAAGATTATGAAGATGCAATGCCATCAGAGATATATCTCTCAGCATAATCCTTTCAGCCATTATGATTTCTTCAGTCAAGGCATCAATACGAACTAATAAACAGAATTATGTTTATGGCTAATTTTACAACAAACTTCAATCTTTCATATGCCTTCAGCCTCGTAAAAACTGTATTAAATCATATTAAATTAAGTTCAGAATATGCACGTGAAGTGGAAGTATGACATACAAATATAGGTTCATAATTGTGTAGAAAGATGTGACCAATCAATTGTCTTTTACCTTTGACGTTTTCATGTCATTCAAATATTTTATGGAACCCCTTCTGAATTTACATTAAAAATTATTTCAACAATGATTTGAAGGGCTTAGGGCACTTGCATGATAAGTCACCATAGAACGTGTTTACTTATTCCAAAATGCCAATATCACTATTTTGGCCGAAGTGTGGCTTATTGTGTTACTATGTTTTTCTCACTTATATATGTTCACTTTTTAAGAATTCAGTTAAACCATACAAAAGACACAGAAGAAAAGAAATAATACAGAGAAGCATAATTTAATTTCCCTGGAACTTCTTTTGCTTTCCATTCAACAATGATGTCAAAGTCACCTCAACAAATTGTTTTTTCAATTTTTTAATTAATGAAAATTTTGGACATTATTCCACAAAAATAAATGATTAACTGTGTCCATTAATTAGCAAAGCATCAGCTACAAAGCAGCAATTGGTAAAGTGTCAAAGTTAAAGACTTTTACAATGATTGTTTATAATATACTTTTGATACTTTACTTTTTTGATACTTTACTTTAAAATCTCAATTTAATTTTTTTTTTTTTTTTTTTTTAAACAATATTCCGGAAAATATGAAGGCCTTGAGTAAAAAGAGAAGCCAAAACTCATCAAATTCAAGGCATTAATAAATGATGTCTCTCTGTAATTGGATCTTGTTACTGCTCAAAGCCCTTCAATTAATGTACAATAATTTTGCAAAATGGTTATAAATTTTAGGGTACCTTGTGAAATATCTAATTTTATATACAAATTTTTGAATTAAACAAAGTTTTTCGTGGTATGCAAGTTTCATCACTGAAAACATTTTAAGAATTCATAAGACTAATTACTTTTCATGTATTTAAATAATTTGCATAACTTCACCATTGTGGACTTACTTCTTCTTAATACTGCCTCAGGTCGAAAGAAGAGGCCTGTCCATTCTCGTGCAAGAGTAGATGCATTTATTTTCTCAACACCAAACTCTGCTTGATATTCCAACTTACAGCTGATATGTACGGGTAAAACTTGGTTATTCTCGTACTTAATGAAAATTAATAGGAAATTAGTATAGTAAACAACAAACCCTTTGTCTTCAACAATGAAGTAGTACAAAATTGTACCTCGCAAGCATCCATTTTACACCTAACTAAAACTTTTAGTTCTTTTTGAGAGCTCTGTCCTTTCAAAAACTTTTCATTCAAATCTTCTTTTTGTCGTTCTTCACAGTTTAATTTCCATAACCTATATGTAACATTCGTTTTGGAAGATGGTGGGATTACAGTGTAATCAGAATTATTTTGAAGGAAATATGTATCTTTACCTAAAAGAATAAATTAAAGCAAAAAGCTTAATAACAAAAAAGACAAATACCAAGTCTTTTTCAGCACTCAAAATAAAAACAAGAATCTTTAGTGGAAGTTATAAGAAATCAAATAGGTAATAAAAAATAACTGTACCTTTTTGAATTTCTGATGGTTGTTTATTTTCAGAAACAAATTCACCTGAAGAGGCATCTTCACTTTGTAAATCTATTACTAAATCAGAACTATCAGATGCGCTATCATCAAAATTATCTTGAGTAGTTTTCTTACTAAAAGCATCATCATTATTTGGAGGTATCTCCATATTTGTAAATTCAACTTTCAAATCATTTAGTTGACTTTCAGGATACCTATAGATAAATAATTTGTGTATTTTTGTACAATAATTGGGTACATTGATTTAAAAATTCAATATGACATTTGAGCAAATCTTTTTTATTTATTTTTTTAATTTTATTATTTAAAGACATCAACATTAGATCATTAGCAACCACTATTGCATTTAATAGTAACTGTGAAGAGGACATGAAGTGGTAGTGATAAAGGGTAAAAAGACGAACACAAATACAACCATGCTTGAGGCAGGACGTGAACCTGTGATAGTTTGGACCGATAATGTATATTTATTAATATTCATGAGTTGGTCAAGTGATGGTAAGAAGTTTTCATCTATAAACTCCTAGTTCTTAAAAAATTGACAATTTTTATATAAATGCTGCCTATTTTAAATGTTATACAAATCTTTTTTACATACCTGCCTGAAGAATTTTTGAAAAAGATACCAATTAGGGTTGAAATGTAAAAATTATTTGAAAAGACACAATGTAGTGTCCATTTCTCAAAAAAGGTCAGAATAATTTTACAACTTAATGAGCAGGTGTTAATCTATCCCTTAAATCTAATGCAAGATTTATAAAAGTTTAGGTTTCAGAAACACACCCCAAATTAACGACAAATTTAATAGAAAAAATTTAACATTTCTATTATAATTTAATAATTATTCCTGAGGTACTGGAACGCCATTCCATCACATTCTGCCAGATATCAAGCTCTGCCTAGAACTAATTTTAATTACTTTTCATTGCACAAAAACACATAGTATTATACCACCTACAACAACAAATATGTAAATAACATAAGGAAAGGAAATATTTCAAATAGATAGAATGGAAAAAATTAAAGGAAACACAAATAAACCAACAACACAAGATGAAGAAATATTAACAAGTAATTTATAATTACATTTACCTGAAGGACATTGGATCTCTGTAATTACACATTAAACATTTTATTGCCAATTTATGAAACCATATGTTTCTTTCACAGGCACTCATAGTTTTTGAAGGTAATTTTTTATCTATGAATACCACTTTATGGTATTTTTGAGAATTGCCATCTGAGAAAACAATTGCTAGTTGAAACAAGAGTAGATATATCTCAAAATCAATAAATAATGACATGAAATGAACGACAATGAAAAAACCTTTAATGCTTAACTGTTTCACCACAATTGGAATATTCCAGTCTCGATCAAATTTAGATGAAATATTGTCTGCAATACACTTCAATCCACTAGAAGAGATAACAATATCAGCTTTTTCTTTAACTGCAAGTATTTCAGCATTTTTGTCAGCACTCACTAGAGAATAGAAAATGAATTAAAATATTAAATTTAATCAAAATTATAATTACTCTAAATACTTAGTATCATTTACAATCTTTGGAAAAACATAAAATATTTTCTCTTCATATTTTCTTTTTTGTGAATAACGTTTTTTTGGATATTTATGGCTTTTGTAATTTTTAATATTAATATGATATTCACAAATGTAAATATTAAAAGGTTCCTTCACGTTTCTAAAACGAGAGTTGCCCCTTTTGTAAATCTGGCAAAGAAAACAAGATCAGCATCAAGACAAAAAATATACTTACCAGTTACATGATGTAAAGTATTGACATCTTCAGGAGATGGTGCATTTAAAAGTAACATCTTAGAATAATCAGTGGATACTTTGGTTGTTATATTAGGATCATTAGGAATATGAAGTTTTGGCACAACTCCCTAAATCAAAATAATAGCAATATTACTGAAGCAAATATAAACAGTGTGTTCGGATCAAAAATGCTTATAGTTACAAAAGGGTGATAAAACAGATTACAATTAGCTTTGGGTACTTACGAGCATTTGATTTCTTTGCATTTTATGACTTGTGTAGATATTTGCATAATGTAAAATGTTCTAAAATTGTGTAATCAAAACCTACATCACTAATTATTTGAATGATGGTCCATTCCAAACACCAGATATTTAGTATTACCAATGCAATTTGGAGTAGTTTTATTATAAATTGAGCTGGGAATTTTAGGTGTTGTATTTTAATTTTTTTCCCTTATACAATGCCTCGAAGAGTTTGTCTTGAAAATATGCCATTAAGTAAATACTACTAACTGCATTTTAAATTAACCCTTCTATACTGTTTTTTTTTTTTTTTTAAGCACCTTTTGCACCAATTCTAAACGTGTTAATATTTTTGCACCTGTTTCACATTTTTGGTTAGTTTCTCACATTTTATTAATAATTAAACAATGAAAACTATTGAAATTGCCCTTCCCCGTGTCCCCAATTTCCACTACATGAGTTATTGGTTAAAGGCTGTTGTATTTATTTGTAATCTTTTTAAAGTTATGTGCAATTTCTCAGAAACCAAATTATTTTTTAGTTGTAACAAAGAACTAGTAGATAAACAAGAGTTACAAAATGAACTTTTCATTGAGCTTGGTAATTATATTCTGACATCAGCTGTTAAAATATTGGAGGTGCAGTGTCCCGAGAGAATGCAGAGAGAAAGATGCACAATATTCTGATGCATATGAAAGAAGCACAGCAGGGACCCAAAAAGGAAAAGCTAGATCAGAGCTTAAGCCAAAACTCCTGTTGTTGTTGTTGTTGTTGTTGTTGTTGTTGTTGTTGTTGTTGTTGTTGTTGTTGTTGTTGTTGTTGCAAAAATGTATGACTAAAATTACTGATTGTAAAGTACATACAACACTTGTATCAGATTAATGTTTCTTTTAACATGTATTTACTTAGTGAGAGGAAGGAGAAGAAAAAAAAGGAGAAAAAAGAAAGGGGGGGGAGAGAAAAACAACATTGAATAGTTTCATACTTTTTGTTCCAACAGTTGTCTGGACTTGTGTCCAAAATAACAAGGTTTGGGACTAACGTAAGGTATATTTTTCAATACATGAATAAATTGTGTGATCTCATACGTGATGTAATTGGCATTGTTTGAAGAAATTTACATGTGAAATTTGCTCTTATTTTTCTCTCTTCATTTTACACCTATTTCAGCTAAATTAAAGCACCTTTTTACAAAAATGTTGCACCTAAAATTCCTAGTTCTAATTATAAACAATAAAATAAAACTGTGTTGCTGAACATAACACTAGATCTGACTTTGACAAACATAAGAAACACAGGGTTGTAGGTGTTAAAATTTTTAAAAATATGTGAACAATGAAATCATATTTGCTACTCAAACAACACAGAAAATGGCTTTATCTTTCCACATCTGAGCTATGAAATACTTCTCATATTTTTTATTCCCTTTCCTGTAAAAGTAATGTTTCATGTTTTAAAATTTTCAACAACAAAGAGGCCCTGGGATTCTTCTAACTACTAAATTTTTAAGCTGATTACCAGCCAGCTCATTTGGAGTATTACTCTTCAACATACTCCATAAACAAAACCATTCCGTTTACCATAAGAACAAAGAATCAAAGCCATGGGGACCATAGCAGAGCGCCTGAAGATCGGAGAGCAAAGTATTTTGGCATAAAATGTGCCATACAGACTCAAAATTGTTTCACAAGAATTGCACGGAGATCAATGGCCAGGGCCTTTGGATGTGTGCAGTGAAGCATCAAACATGTCCTAAAATTATAACATTAGAAGTTGCCATTTCATGTTCTCTATTTGGTGAGTTGATTCCTTTGCATAGGATACAATATAGAATGAGAGTCCTAATTTTCTTTAGGTGTTAAACACTTCATTTAACAGCTTATTGTTATTTAATAGCTTGAGTATTATCTGAACATTTTCAGTTTCTAACATACAGTTTTTACCAAGTAAAGTGTAAGGAGTTGCTTAACTTAAGTGCTGAAAGGAAAAATAATAATATCGCTTAATTTGTTGAATAGGACTGACAATAAATTGCTCACCATTTCCAGTAACATTTGGAGTGGAATCATCTGAACTTCAGGTTTATCTTCTGGATATACAAGAGGAATTTTTTTCAGTGATGCATAAAACTGAGGATATGATTTAACTCTCTTCAACTGTGACTGAAGTTTCAAACAAAGTCAAAGAACAATCAAATCAATATTAAACAATCAAAGAAAATAATAACAATGATAACCCACCAAAACCACCATTGAAATTCTATAATTAAATGCAGATAATACCTTCCATTCACCTTCTGTGAATTTTAGAGCTTCATTAACCAGAATATGATGTTTCTCATAGGATGTTTTCCACAATTCTTTAATGTGTTCTTGGAATTGGATTTGTTCTTGGTCAACAATTTCTTTCATCTCCTATGCGAGGGGGAAAAAAATCATAAACAAGAATAAAACATGAAACTTCCAGAAAAATCATTTAAACAAACTGATTAAATAAAAAATTAAATACTCAGCAAGAAATTACGTTCAAATTGAAAAATGAAAAAAACAATTATATGCATAGATAGCACTTATATATAGTAATAATATAAATGTGTCAACACTTCGCTCTAAAACCGATTTTAACTCCTATTGAAATGACCATTTATATTTTGTTTTAAATTTTTTTAGAAAACATTCAAATAAATAAGTGTCTAAAACAAAGATAATAAAATTAAATATTTTATTTTAAAAGTAGAATTTTACAAATTATTATTTTTTTGGATACAAGTTCAATTTTCATTCGTTATAATGATGCATTGGATAAATGAGAAGAGAAAGTAAGGAAGCAATATTTTTGTTCATTAATTAATATCAATTAAGAACAATTGAGAACTGATTGAGTTCTGAAGGAATAAAATTGTCAAACCGTATTTTCATTATGTTTTGAATTTGTACATCATTAATTGTTAAAAATATTTATAAAAAAATAATTTCATTCCAATGATAATGATGGAAAGAAATAGCAAGTCAATTAGTATGAGACTAAGAGTGGATTAAAACATGTCTGATTGCAGACAAAAGTCCTCTTATGGTTTGATACCACCATCATAAAATACACACACGCATGTGCGTGTGTGTTTTTCTCTTTTTTCCACTCTCTTTCTTTTGAAGGTAGGGGGAAATCTTCAAGAGACTGGGTAGCCCCTACTACCCAGTGGGTGAGATTTTTACTAATTAAAATCAAGGATTCCTTCTCATCCATTCTTCCCGCAGAACCACCTATAGATATTACATTGTCGAGAGAGGAATTGTGACCCAATCACATGAAGTTAGTTGAGTGAAGAACCATGAGATATTCCTCCTTTCTTTCTCTAGGTGTCTCAATTCCAGCAATACTTTTTGTGCAACATTACACACTGGCCTCCAATTGCTTTCAGAAGTAAGCATACATGCAACTACATTTTCTGGAGCAATCTGATCTATAGCAAGTATTTTGGAAGTGACAAGTCATTGAGGTACGAAACGTGGGCACTGAAAAAGTATGGCGTCCTCCACAACAGGTTTGCACCCAGGACAATGTGGGGTATCATCCAGTTTGAACCTGCGAAGGTAGGCTCTGAAGCATCCCTGACCCGTTAGAAGACGTGCGAGATAATAATTTACTCTGCCGTACTTTAGACTGATCCACAATTCAACTGTAGGAATCAGTCAGTTCCCGGTAGGTCCATCTTCCCTTGGAGGAAGTGTGCCATCGCGGCTCTCATTCTGCTAGTTGTTCCAAGCAGTTGTGCTTCCCGTCTCTCCCGATCACAAGCCATTATATCTATTGGGATCATCCCAGCTACGACGCAAACTGCTTCACGCGGAGGGCATATGCAACCCTCAGTGCAAATAGCAGATATATTGAAGCCATGCCTCTTACATAGTTCTTCGCATCTGTAGAGTTGGCAATATCGGGTGATCCGTAGAGCAGAACCGGTGTGACGACCGAGGGCAATCTCTTTTCATGAGTCGGCCCTCCAGAGTTCGGCAGCAACCGAGTCAACGCAGCATTCACCACCTCTTCTTGTGGTGTAGTCCAAGTGGTTTCTAAAGGACAACCGTGTGTCCGTCATGACACCGAGGTACTTTATCACAGGTTGTGATGAAATTTTATGATGACCGATTGTGAGTGATAAATTCTCTCTTCTTTTTGCAAGTTACAAGCATCACTTCCATCTTTATGTCGCAAGCTGCAATCCTTCGGAATCAAGCCAACGACTGACAATGGCAATGACTTCATTGCAGATACACACCATCTTTTCTGTAAATATTGCCACGACGACGATGGCCATGTCGTCTGCGAAGCCTATGATCTCTGTTCCTGGGAGTGGGAGGCTAAGAACCACCTAGTCAACACATGATAGAAGCCTAATCATCATACAAGATATTCCACAGCAGTGGACCCAGCACCGAACCTTGTGGGACGCCCACGGTGATGTGCATCTTTGGTCCATCATCTTTATTGTAGACTAGAATCCGTCGATTCAGATATTCAGCCATTATCCTTCTCAGGTACGTAGGTACAGTGATTTGGTGGAGTGACTTATGAATATCACTCCATCTTGTTGAGATAAAATCATTCTTAATATCCAATATTACAACGTACAAATGCAAAGTACTTTTTTGGACTTCTCCATCTATTTCCTCTAATGGCCTATTGAGCAGTATCAGAGTTTGACAGCATCGATTGAGCCTTGCGAAAGCAATGCTGATTCTCTGAGAGTCCACCTCCTTTATCTACTAAACCTTCCAATCTTCTCTGCTAACGATATGATCGAAAACCTTACTCGCAGTATCGAGCATGCACAGAGGCCTGTAAGACGCCGGCTCTTCAGAAGCCCCCCCCCCCCCGGAAGATGTGTTAGGTGTTTCTTCCATCTCTCAGAATGTGGTAGAGGTCCACGAATACTTTATTACGAGTGGATAGCAGACTTTAGGGCGATGTTGGAGATATTATTAGGTCCTGGAGACTTGGAATACAGTAGCTCAGCCTCAGTGATCAAATGGTACAATGATCGTTACTTCGCTGTGGTGGTGTGGGTATAAATTTGTCACAATTCTCTGTCAAATGTTAAGGCAGGTTGGAGGCTGGGTATGCGACTTTATAAACTTGCCCATGACAGTCTGGAATGGCGTAGCCCCATTCATCCTTATCGACTTCACCACACAGACTAACTTCGGAGACATTTACTTTCCCAGATTGCGGTCTTCAAATGGTTTCTGGCCAATTTACTTTGTTCTTGCAATTGAACAAAGGTATCTTTACCATGAACTCTCTGTTAGAGTCTCCTGGCCTGAAACCAGTGACGGCGCTGGTGAGCAATGTGTAACGTACCAGCAAACAAACCTCGGGGCAGCCTTTTGGGGACGCGTAGTAAGGGATCAGTAACAGGAAACCGCCTCGCCACAGGAGGGAGAGAAGTTTTTTTCCTAAAAGTCAGCACGCGGCAAAGGGAGACACGAGGCTTTGTGGTCCTCTGGTGTTAAGGAACGGAGACCCAAACCTCATGGCAACCAAAGGGCGCTGTGGGGGCGGCGTGATGTATTAGGTTACGTGAGCCACGAGTATATAAGGGAGTGCACAGAGCCAGTGGTGGGTTCTGGAGCCAGTGAGAAAACCTCGTGCAGTTGCACAAATGCTTGGTGCCACGACGATGCAGCGGCGAGCCTGTGGATGACTGTGTCCTTGGGTGACCGCAGTCAAGTGAGAGCGATGCTGTGTGCATGCTCTGAGGTGAGGAGTGGTTAAGTGACACGTCTCAAGCCGATTCTGAATCGGGTAAGATCGCTTCCGCGATCGAGGCAAACTATCAGTAGGTACGCCGGTACGGACGTTGGGTCCCAGTGTGACGTCCGGCCACGGAAGCTTGGCTTTGTGCGCGCTTCAGATGTTGGAGTGGCGAGTGCCACAATAGAAACCGATCATCAATCGGGTTGGGATCGCTCCCGCGATCAGGGGATAGTAGGTCTATCAGAGTTAGGGTGTAAATTCATTGTAAATATTTGTTGTTTTCTTTGTAAATAAATATTTGTTATATGAAAACTCTGTGTCTGTGTTCGCCGTAAGTATCCATGACGTCACAAATTTCATTTCACCAGTAAACTGGTACAAGTCGGTGGTTGGTTCCTCTTTTGGGCATAGCTGCATCACAAGCTCTGGTTATCCAGTTCATAATTTGGCTAACCTTTGTCTCTGCCGCCCCCAATGGTACAAAGTTCTGCAAACAAAAGCTGAATACTTCATCGTCAAACGCTTTGGCTTTCCAACCTGTAACCATACATTCCATTCCAATGTTACCCTCCTTTCTTTGATATTGCACTTCGTATAGAATAGCCTGATGGTCGCTTTGTGTGTGTATTGTTCACTGACTTTCCAGGATACTTCCATTCTGAACATGCTATCTGCCATAAACTTTATGTCCACCAGATCCTATACAATCTCTGCGGAAGGTGTGTGTATCTCTGGTGTCAACGAGTACTAATTTTAAGAGCAAATGATTGTAGTTCAGCTCGACATCTCTTGGCAACCCCACTCCACGGCCCACGCGACCGCTGCGACCTTTGGCGTCAAGAATAAGACGGTTCAGGAATGACTCAAACTCACTAAACGTAGCGTTTGGTGTCGCATTGCAGCTGTAAATATAGATTCCATCCATTATGACCCAGACGAATCCAACTTCAGCTCGAGTCATTACTTGGAATGTGGACCATTCCCACATGCCCAAATTGCGGCTTTGTTGAATTGGTCAAATAAATCGTCGGGGTTTCTGTATTGTTCACACAGAATCGCATGTGTATGTGTGTGTGTGTATGTTTGTTTTAAATGAGCATGCATGATCATGAATAATCACAAACCATCACAAATATGTGTTTTCAAAATAATTTTATGCATCTCTCAGTCAAATGTTACCGTCATAAATCTTCAACCATACCATACACTGGGGAGGTAAAGTTGTTTGCTGCTGCTGTTGAACTGCATATAACATTGCCACATAAGATGCATGTTGAGCAGCATTTAACATGGAATAACGGACACCATCCTGAAGAAATATTGAAATGAAGTTAATCACAGACACACCAACATTTTCATTTTCAAGAATGATACTAATTTCAAATATTCTAAATCAGTCTCTAAAGTTTTATGATAATTAATAATTTGGTATTTTATTTCTTCATCTTTCTGGTGATTGACAACATCAATCAGATCACAGTTATCATTTACTTCGTAAATTCCATTTGTACAATTTCAATGATTTGAACATTATCAATTACTGAGTAGCACAAAGCATTTATCATACTTGACACTGCCATAATATCATCAATTAAATATGTAAGATTTATTTTTAAAATGTTTTAGTACTTTTTAGAGGGTGGTAACTATTTGATTTTGAATAACGTTAGAAGACAAGGTAAAAAAATTACGAACAAATGAAGTAGTCTCTTCATTCATGGTCACTGAATACGTCACAGGACAAACGACATGACCTTCTTTAGAGCAAATGGAGCAAGATGTTTGTTGTAATGTACTTGCTGACAGGAATATCACATTTTATTTTGAAAATAGTATTTTCTGATCAGGGCCTCATTTAATCTAATTTTTCAAAAACACTTTGACCAAAAGTAAAGTAGACGCTTAAATGTTGAAATCAGAACTCATTAAAGAAACTAGTGGTGCTCCAGAATTGTACAGACGTTTCCGTATATTTTTTCTATTTCCTTTGGTCTCGGTTAGCTATTTGGACTTGCCACCTGCCATCTATTGCCACCAAACTATTTTTTTCCAAACTCTTTTAATTTTTTGGTTACCTAATAGTACTCAAATTATTACTTTAAAAATATTTAAGAGCAAAACCTCGCCCTAAATGTAACTTTTCATTGAAAAATTTGGAGCCGTTTCTAAGAAAATGGTGTTTAACCACTACTGTGAATGCGAAATTTGAACCACTTTTCACAGAAAACTATTAAGTTATCGAAACATTTCATATCAAGTCATTTTAAGCGTTTTAACTCACATACACAATAGTATTTACAAATTACTGGAAGTGTACATTGTAAAGGTATGAAAGATATTAAAAAAAAAAATACATGTGTAATTTTTTGGGGGTGGGAAAGAAAAAGAAAATGGCAAAATGAACTTTTTGACATATTAAACAGTACAATTAGCACTCTGTAATAAAAGTTTGGAGAAAAAAAATTTGGAATCATTTTTGGGAAAATGGTGGTTAAGCGGAACATATACTCATAAATGCTGTAATGTGAACCAATTGCGGCTAATGCAAATATTAACGACATGAAAGAAGAGTTTAAAAAAATAGAAAGTAATAGATTTTTGAGAAAACAAAAGAATAAAGCAGTACCTCGTTTATGTCATCTTATAGAGTGCATTTAGCACTTTCACTACCAGAAGTTTAAAGAAAAGAATTTGGAGCTGTTTTTGAGAAAATCTTGTTTTTGTAATATTTAAAATTCGCAAAATTTGCATGCAATATTGCTCGAAAACAACTAAAATTAATTTTCTAAAAATGTGCATAACCTGAAAGAACTGATTATGAGCAATAAATTTCATTGAAACAAAACATGTCTATCTTTAATTTTGTAGTTGTAGTAAGACGCTGGAAATAATTCATACTTTTAAAATTTTCGAAAATTCAGTGTTGAATCTGAAAATTGGGACATATGCCATCTTTATAAATGTGTTTTACCCCATTCTTACAAGAAATTGAAAGTCAGTTGAAAATTGAAAGAAAATTGTCAGTTGCACTAAAACCGATAGTAATCAAATTCCTATCTAAATAAGAGTGGAAAAATATCCCATCAAATTACAGGCCAATTCTTACTTTCAGCAAAATTACAGAAAAATACCAAAGAGAATGGTTAAATTCTTATCAAAATCATACCATTCATACACTCCACAGAGAGCCTTGGTTGGGTATGCTCCTGTCTTGAGTATTTACTACTCTGTGACATTCTTTGCTTTCCTCTGTCTTCCCATGGGTGGTGATAGTTCAGTTACAATTTGCAACCTTTGTGCAAATGTAGCTATGCCACAAGAAACTTTTTGAATCTGGTTATATGTTGATTGCAATTTTAGTTATTAAATTACAGTTCAAACATTTTTTTTAAAGCTAATCAATATTTTAGTATGTAATACAAATTTGGGATGAAGAAAACTAGATGATGGCAGTTCACATTAATAATTAAAATTGTGATTAAAAAATTACGTCTTGTGTACAAGAAAAAGTTAAGACTGAAATATAATTTCAGTAGGCATGCTATTTGAAAAGTAAACTAATATTTCACTTAACTTGCCAAAAATAATTTAGATTAAAACTGAACAACATATAATAATCACAAACATTGATAAAATTTTACATTTGAGAAGATAACCATGATAAAAATAAAAATCCAGAGGTATTTTTTTGTTAATTATTTTAAATTTGAATAATATGCAATACTAAATTTCTCAAACTTGTAGTACATGTTGACAACTGATCAATTTAATATATTATAAAAAATATGAGAATTGAAAAAGAAATATTCACCCAAAAGCAGTGTTGAAATACAAACCAATAGGGCAAAGGAATGTGGAAAGACCACAAAAGAAATTGTTAGAACAGGAACACCTGGAAGGGTAAACCTCCTGGTCTACTGGGAAACAGGAACAGGTAATTTATGAAAATGATAATACTACATAATAATAATAATAATAATAATAATAATAATAATAATAATAATAATAATAATGTGATTTAAATAAAAAAACAACAATGTATTGATTTTTCAGAACATTCATGATTTTTTTCGTTAAAAAAAGACAACAACATTGAACAAGAGGGTGGTAACCACTTCTGCCACTTGATGATATGAATGAATGCAAGAAAAAACGATTTTCATTCACAGTGAAGTGAGGGAAGTGATTTTATTTTAGTGACAATGATTTTCTCAATTCTTAAGTTCTTAGAATGTGATGTTAGTAAAAAAAACAATTGTTCAACATGCATAATAATAATGATAATAATAATAATTATAATAGACCTACAAAGGGAAAAATGTAATATCAGTGGTTGATGGTGATAACAAAAATAAATTATGTATTACATGTCTCGAAGACCCCAGTCCAGTAAATGAAATTACGCTGCAAACGTAACTACTTAATTATTCTACAAGAATAAGGGAACATCACTATTTTATATTACAAATTTCAAATTTGGTTGCTGTTTAAGAGAGAACTGAAATAATATCAGGCTTTAATTCAGCTTCATAAGATTTTGTTAAAATTAAAAAACTTTCAGAGAATATAAGTCAGAGACAATGATCTAAAGAAATTTATTATGATTTGTCATAAGATGTGATATAGTTTGAGAGTTTATGTTGAACAAGCAAGGAGCATGGGCATGCTCTAGCAGTGGGCACATAGGTGTTGGTGTGGTGGAGAATGAGTTGCTGTGGGATCAACAGCGAAAAGGAAACAAGCAGAGTGAGGCACAGGCTACAGTAATTTCATGTTTTAACATAAGTTTTCTTTAAAAATTTGTTTCTTGTAAGACAACTTTCAACATAGCAAATATACTGGCAGATTTAAATAGACAAATGGATCAAATAGAGATCGAGAGATAATGAAATATTCCTGTGTTAACATGATATTTATGGTGAAGCATTACTGTGAAACCTGTAGTACTGGAAAACGGTTTTTGCAAAGAAATAAGAGTGGTGGCAAGCAATACAAGCACAATGGTGTAGTAGAATATTTTTCCTGTACATATAAAAAGTATTCTTTTAAATTAGAAAAATGATTCTAACCTCTGAAAAAGTACAATCCTCTGCAATATTAATTATTTTCCCTTTATTTTTAGATGTGGTAGATGCTTTTGCATCACGTTTCTTGTTTTTATTCTTTTTCTTGGTAGCTTGTTTTGGTGGTGGCTTCTCATACACTGGTTCATCTGAAGAGTCACTGCTTAGTTCTGCTTTAAATGTTCCATGAAGAATTTTGTAGGTTACAGATTTTGATTTGAAATCTTCAGCTGAAGCAAACTCAGGATCTGGATCTACAGGTACATTCCTGGAATATTTAAAGAAATAATATTTGCACCATTAACTTCGACACTAATTGCAGCCAAAAACTAAAGAAAAAGACCAATTGGCATTTAATGAAAATCCATACCATGAAATGTCATTGAAAGTATCCATAACCCCCCAAAATCTGACACCAGTTTACACTCAAATAACACTCGGAAGAATCACGGTCATAGCATAAAGAAAGGTGTTTAAGTAACACAGTACAAACTTATAATATAAATACGTCAAAGATAGCAAAAAGCGCACTCTCCATTACTAAAACCTATGCAGCATTTCAAATCTCGTGGGTCCTTGTCAATGTCTCAACAAATCCAACCAAATCAAACATGCCCCGCAATCTGCCTGCAGCTATCTAGCATCACGTGCTCTCCGTGCACTACACTGCGATTTATGCAACTCTGTCCCTGGCAGGTATCAAACATTGACGGTTTAATCCAATCGGAAGCTTGAACGTCACCATAGTGACGTCATCATAGTGACGTTTAGGCTCTCGATTGGATAAAACTAACAGCCGATAGCTACCAGGGGCAAAATAGTATAAATCGCAGTATAACTCTCCCGCATCCCCAGGGCTACTGGAGAGGAGAACACTGAAGGGGGAAAAGTTCTTCAAATGTCTAAATATTTTATGCTCAGAATCTCCGTACATGTCATAAAAAATTGGTGAAAGATGTTGCCAGAGAATTTCATTTTAGTGAAGTGGTCTGCCCGAGATCATATTTTTGGAGTTCGATGATTATAATTATCGAGTAATAAACCAATATGACAATTGGCTTTTGATTTCTTCATAAGCAGACATTCATGCTAAATAGTTCAAGTCACATCTGGATTCAGTAAAAGAAATACCTTCATAATACCTTCAATGTGTGGCCAATAATAAAGTGCAATAGTAAGCCATGTTCTCTCGTAAATGTTAACGATAGATTTTGACGGAAAGAGACTTTCTGGTAGTTGTTTAAATATTGGTTCTCGACAGAGCATTCACAAAGTTGCTGAAGAAATCAAATTATTAACTATTGGATACTGTGAACGTGTCTTCGGCAGCACGATAGTACATATCGACGGTGAACACGATATGTATCGTATATAAGTGACGTGCAGTCAATGGCGACTTGTGCATATTTGCACGTTCGCATCTGCACACCTAAATTAAATTCGGTGCATTTTCTCTTAAACATCTCTAAATAAGAGGGTAATACAAGTCCTCTTGGAGAATTTCCGAAACATGGTATTTCAAAACATGCCCCCGCCAGTAAGCAGTGATGCCAGTGCCCTACGTGAAAGCCAGCCGGCACACAATCGGGAATTGCGAACGAGCAAAGCGCGGCGTATGCTGCCGCGGGGCTGGAGAGGAAAGAGGAAACAGTGGCTTTATGGATGGATGGAGCATAGACTAAGGAGTTATATAACATTACTCTATGGAAGGAGCATTCTGCTAAAGATCTTATAACTACACTAGATTGCTTACTAGTCCAGTCAAAGCATTGTGAGGCCGGTCGCCATATTAGAAACGCGCAAGAAGCTGGCGGGAATTTGAATTCAAGTTGTACCAAGCTTATACCCTGAGGGGATCAATACTCAGAATTACACACAAAACAGTTTGAAATAATTTATATCTGTTAAAAATAAGAAAGTAATACGAATAATATTATTTATTTCAACAAAGGCTTGATTGTTACACATGTTTGAAGAGAATGGCACTTAATTACTAGATTATATTTACATATTGTTAAATAATATCAACTTATTCAGTTGATGTCTTTTACTGATAGAGCAAGTATTTTCAGCAAAATGTTTTACCTCGGAGACAAGTCTTATTTCTGAGTAATTGTCCACTATTGAATTGACAAGCTGAATTTTATGAGGAACCCTTATCTCTGAAGTGGAAAGACAACTGCTTCTCGGTTTCAAATACAGTTTTGTACACACATTCTGCAGCTGACACAAGACCACCTCTGTTTTTCACATCAACAAATCTTGTGTACTCTGCAAAATGCGAGTAACTGTGCACAACACTTTCCCTGAATAAAGCATTAACACAATTACAAGTAATTCATTTGGTCAAGGACCGAACAATACCTTTCTATTGTAAATTTTTTTTAAAAGACTTAATATGTTTGTAACAAACAATGTACTTCAGCTTCCGGGGCAATGCCCCCCCCCCCCATCTCGATCAGGTTTTTGTCCAGTTTTCCTGATCCATTGAGCAAATGCTGAGATGGCCCCTTGTATTGCTTCTGGACGTAAATGTAGCTTCACTATGCGCACGTTTTGTTGAACTCTCCTTTTGCTTGTAATGGTAGGAGAAGAGGTAAGGACTAGTTACTATTTTGTTAGCAATGCAGAATCATACTTGCTATTCGTTTACCGATACAAATAAGTTTTCTACGACTCGTAAACAAAAACTACTGGTTTTCATATATATTTATTTTATCTTTCAACGATTTATAATTAAAACGACGGGAAGGCGTTCTGGAACTCAAGAAAACGTGAGCAGATAATATTTTCCCCCTATACGCAACATACACTTTAAATGCTTTTTTGACTAAATAAATCTAAATCTAAAACTTCAATGACTCTCGTTGACACGCCGGACTTCTCTCACATGCTGTCTGCTGCTTTGGTGGCGGTGCCCTTCTTTATTCTCGATCCCCGCATGGCTTCGCTGCTCGACTGCGGCATCGCCCGCTGGCCACTCGTTTCCCATTGGCCAGCGTCCATGCCAGTATGCCGTCCCGACAAACTTCGGGGAAGCTGTTTCGCGCCGTTGTCTCAGCGCGTTTTTTGAACTGCCGCATACAGCCGCAACAACAATCTTCCTTGACAGATAGGTTTTCACGTTCCTTGATAGTCACAAAAATATTAGAAAAAAAGTATTCATGGGAAAGGTACGTTAAGTTGTCCTTGCAAAAATACAGGATCGGGCAAAATACATCATCTCTGGTATGTTTGTAATTGGAGTTGCAATGCAAGGAAGTATCGAGAAGCGCCGAACCTGCAAAACTGTAATATATTGTTTAAGAAGATCTCATTCTGTAGATTACGGCGTGAAGAACGTTTCTCGGTCTCAATATTCCAGGTTTTACGACCCTGGAAAGCTTCGGTTGGATATATAT